GATAGGATTTTGGCTTAGAATTGCAGAGACTAAATAACCGATTAATATGTGGCTTCAATCCTACAGGTCCAGAATTTTAATTACTACCTCATAACTATGTTAAAGTGCCCATTCTTAGGGGTGATCTCGACATAGGGGCCACAAATAAAAATTCTGAATCCGTAGATCGATTAGAATTCAAATTCTAAGTAATATCCTCCTACAAACCATGCTCATACGTGTTGTGGTTGGAAAGCTATAGTCCAATCTCTCCAGAGTGCCAAATTTGGCAGGGAAAACAAGCTGATTTCGCATTTTTGGAGCAATAAATAAATTTTCTACATGGAAAACTCTCTCAGTGGATTCAATCACATCATTCCCTCAAACCCAGTGCAAAAAATATATTGAATTGGTGTTGTGGAAGGTACAAAGTCCATGTCTCAAGAAATTGGCCCTGTGACGCTATGTCACGGCATGTCACTGGTCATCACACTTACCAAGGATTGTGCAACACCACTACTAGTAGTAGTAACAGCACATTCAATACTGCTAACACTGTGAGTACACTGGTTATCATGTAAGTGTTTCAATGAACTAAACTAATAGCGTGGATTGGGCAGATGGACATCCACAACATCTATTATGGCAGTAGGACGATGTCTGGTGGGGTCGTTCCCCTTATGCCAAATTTGAGCAATTGGTTCACAGGGCAGACAGAAGTCATTGTCAAACTCAAGAGGCATTTTTCCAACACAAATGACTCAGCCCAGAAGAGAAAGTTCTTCTTGCTACATGGTATGGGGGGTATTGGAAAGACTCAGATTTGCTTGAAGTTCATTGAGGAAATGTCTGACTGGTGAGTACTACCAAAGAGGCAGATCCAACCCTCATTTCAAAAATTTTAATTGCCTCCAGTTTCTCTTCTGTTTTTTGGATTGATGCTTCCTCAGTTGGCACCATCACACAGGGACTCAAGGGTATCTGTAATCTTCCTGCAGCTCAGTCTAGTGGACTAGATGGCTCACCTGAATCTGCTCCTCACTGGATTGGCCTACTGAAAGAGAATTATATGATGGTCTTTGACAATGCTGATGTTCTATCACCATCTGAGCTGGGCTTACTTTCCACCTGGAAGGGGGGGAAACATTCTGATAACTAATTGCAACTCCACCATGAGGAATTTGACTTCACCTGAGAATTCTCTTGAAGTAACTGAGATGGAAGAGGATGATGCTATTAAATTACTTCTAAAAGCCAGTTGCCTGGATCCATTTTTAATGGAGGCACAAACTGAAGCTTCTAACATTGTGAAGGAGCTTTTCTGCCTTCCTCTTGCTCTTGATCAGGCTGGTGCTTACATTGCATCTGGGGCCACCACTATTGGAGACTATCTTGCAAAGTATTCAGATCATTGAAAAACATTATTATCCCATTCTGAATTTACTGGGGCTTCTAAGTATAACAAAAGTGTCTATGGAACTTGGGAACTATCATACCAAGAAATTCAGCAAAGAGCTAAATCTGATGATTCTCATAAGGCTAATGCAGCCAACAGTGCAATGCTCATTCTGGAATTATTTTCTTTCTTTCATCATGAGGGAATTACTGAGGAATTATTTTCTTCTGCTGCTCTTCAAAAAGATCAAAAAACCTCTAACCCTGAATTGCCCCTTGCTAGTGCTATACTGGATCTGAGACTACTTCCTCTAAACAAAAGAGGAACTTGGGATAACTTTCTTTTTAGAGAGGGACTTTGAACATTACTGTCATTCTCCTTGATCAAGAAAGGCCCATCTGATTGTGTGTATGCAATGCATCCACTGGTTCATGCCTGGGGCAGGGACAGGTTACTTTTAAATGAGAGCAATAAATGTTGCTTAACAGCATATATTACTTTGGCTTGTTCACTAGGAGTGGTTGAAAACCAGCCATATGAATTCAGAAAAGCATTGGTAATACATGTGAGAGCAAACATGGAGCATTCCAGGTCAGAAAGTAACCAGAACAGTGTCAGTTACTTGGATGATGCTTATGCCAAGTTTGGGATGATGTTTCAGGAACAAGGATATTTCAAGGAGGCAGAAACCTTGGCAAATGAAGTTGTAGAGACAAGGAACAGAATTCTTGGGGTGGAACATCCAGAAACAATCCATGCCATGGGAAATATAGCAATGTCATATCGGCATCTGGGAAAATACACAGAGGCAGAGAAGCTGGATCTCAAAGTTCTGGATGCAAGGACCAGAATTCTTGGAGTGGAAAACCTAGACACAATCCATGCCATGGGAAATCTAGCAGCAACATATAAATACCTGGGAAAATACACAGAGGCAGAGAAGCTGGAGGTTCAAGTTTTCAATGCAATGACCAGAATGCTTGGAGTGGAACATCCAGAAACAATCATAGCTATGGAAAATCTAGCAACAACATATAAACACCTTGGAAAATACACAGAGGCAGAGAAGCTGGACATCCAAGTTTTGAATGGAATGACCAGAATCTTTGGAGTGGAACATCCAGGCACAACTATAGCTATGGGAAACCTAGCAACAACATATCGATATCTGGAAAAATACACAGAGGCAGAAAAACTAGATATCCAAGTTCTGGATGCAAGAAACAGAATTCTTGGAGTAGAACACCCAGAAACAATCCAAGCAATGGGAAATCTGGCAGCAACATATGCACACATGGGAAATTTTACAGAGGCTGAGAAGCTGCAGATCCAAGTTCTTGATGCAAGGAACAGAATTTTTGGTGTGAAACACCCAGACACAATCTATGCCATGGCAAATCTAGCAGTGATGTATAAACACCTGGGAAAATTCACAGAGGCAGAGAAGCTGAAGATCCAAGTTCTGGATGCAACAAACAGAATTCTTGGAGTGGAACACCCAGACACAATCAGAGCCATGGGAAATCTAGCAGTAACATACAAACACCTGGGAAAATATACAGAGTCAGAAACACTGGAGATTCAAGTTCTGAATGCAATGACCAGAATCTTTGGATTGGAATATCCAGGCACAATCATAGTCATGGAAAATCTAGCAACAACATATCAAAACTTGGGAAAATACACAGAAGCAGAGAAACTGGAGACCCAAGGTCATAAATTGAAGAGAAGAGTTCCTGAAGCAGAATTTCTGCATACAATTACAACTGTGGCCAATGTCCAAGAAGCCCAGGAGATTCAAGTTCTTGATGCAGGCAGCAAAGTTCCTGTTGAAGAAAAATTGCATCCAACACAGTGTAATCATGGCATGATTACTACAGTTCCCATACTGTATCATATATAGGATGCACTGGCTGAGACTATAACTTCTCAGTTATTCTGCCTTTTGGCTTAGGTGGTCCTTTGTGCATTCTAGGGACTGCTTACACACAGGTTGTTTTAAAGCATCTATTTCAAGCAGTTCTTCCAAGTACAAAAGTATGTATTTTGGTGATTGTTGTTTGAAGCCTCTCTGATGCTTTTATCCTCAGTCCAGCTTTTTTCCAAACTTGTAAAGAGAGTTTCAAAATTTAAATACAAAATAGCACATTTATTTCATAAAAAGAAAGATCTTGATGATGGCTTTGCAGGAACTAGTACTTAATTTAGCTACCACAGTGATTCCATACATCACTCTCAATTATTTACCATTTCACTGGTATTCTATCTTGTACTCATGTCTTGATATGCTATTAGGGGTGTTCAAAGCTGGGCGCAGCTCACAGCACACATAAGAATTAGCTTATATAACATTGTTTTCATAGTCTGCTGTGACTCCTTCATCTTTTTTCTTGTATGACAGTGCTCCCACACACTCCTTTACCTGTTGCTATCCCTATCTATTGGCTATCATGACGTGTGCTGCCACTTCCAGGGCCGACAAGGCTGAGAAACCCTGCATTCCCAAAATAAACTGGTCAGCAAATAATTCTGCCACCGTCTGGACCCTTCTGGCTGAGATTGAGAAGAGCGAAAATTATCGTGTTCTTTATGGGAAAAAGGATGTGGCCAAGGTGAGTTTTTGCATACCTTCATCTTGTGGCTGTCTAACATGGCTTGTTCACAGAATACAAGTGGTGAAACAAAAGTTGCTGTGTATGCCAGGATTGCCAAAGCTGTCCTCCTGGAACTGTTTTCTCTTAATCCCAACACAGTTCACAACCGTATCAAGAGCAAGCTTGAGAGGTAAGGACTTTATTTCATGTGTTGGTCTGCTCACACCTCCAGTTTCAGCCTTAAGAATGTATACAAGAAACACGCAAAGTGGCTCTGTCAGACTGGTGAAGGTGTTCAGAAAAATGAGGATGGCTCACAGGGTAGTGAAGAAACACTGTCCTTCTACATCATGGGTGATGGTCCTTGCATTGAGACCCCTCTGCATGCTGTCAACATATGGAGTGCATCTCTATCTTCTTGTAATTTGACCATTCACCTAATTTATTGATTTTCTAGAGGAAATCGAAGCAGATTTCCCCTTCTTCCCCACCCTTCACCACATCTAGGCCTCCCATCCAAACATCACTCCAATCGTCATCACCACAGCTCTTGGTCTACAGGGTTCAAAGACAATCTGGTACCAGCCACTGGACAACAACAACAGTCATACTGATGATAACAGTAACATTGGCCCCTAGTTGCTAGACCCTGTTGCTACAGTGGCACCACAGCAAGAGTGGTCATTTGGGAATGATGGGGGAGGTTTGGTGAATGCCAATCAACAACCAAACCTGGTACCGGAGACATCAAGGCCTCAGCGTGGCCCAAAGCCATCTTCTGTCTACTGTGACACCATCAAAAATGCTCGCAAAGCCATCTCAAAGCTCCTGCAGAAATGTTTGCTTGTGGATACTCTAATGGAAATTCAAAAGTATTTTATTTTTGCTTTGTCATCATCTTTTCTTACCCATTTGTAGGGAGAACCTTGCAGCCCAGAAGGTTCAAAATTGAAGCTGTATCAACCTTGAGCTGTGTAAGCAGATTATTGATGAGGTAAAGATGGGCTTGTTGACCATTGAACAAGCTCAGGAGAAGATCAAGGCTATCGAGAATGACAGTTCCCCTTGCCCTGTGAAACATCAGAAGAAGGTTGTTCAGGAGTTTAGCCCAGACTGGGAGGAAATCTCCTCTGGCTCTGAAGACCAGTGAAATGATGGTTTCTTTTCTCATCTACAATTTCTATGTTACTCATGTTGTGATACCCATAATTCCTTGACTAACTGCCTACATTTCGCATTGTTATCATTAATATCTACTCTGCCATCCTCTTGTTGAATACCAGTATCTTCCTCCTCCTTGTTAAAACCATGGAAATTCAGAAAATATGCTGCAGATTGGCTTCCATCAACATTGATAACAATGTTATGAAGGATAATCACAACTGAAATCCATTTACAGGCTTTGTAGTGGTTGTTATTGGAGTTGATATGGACTCAAAGGCCACACAAACACTGAAAGCAACCCTTGAGAGCACCAATGCAATGCTCAGGGCGAACACAAAGGCCTGCAACTACCTTGTCAAACAAGGCATTCATTGGTTTGAGAGATGCTGGCTTTTTATGGACTGGGATTGTTCAGGAATTGACTGCATAGGCTGAGTCTGCCCATGCACAAATTCTTCTCCCTCAAAGAACCAATCAGGATGTATAGCAGCTGTAGTATGCTCAAAGGCAGTTGCATCATGGGCAGAGCCAGTCATGCCATGGGTAAAATCAATGATTCAAAGGTTTGAGGGTGTGTTCCCAATCAAGAAGAAAGGTTATATCAAACTCTACTAGCTAGATAAACACTTACTTGGACATTAAGACCATAGTTTGCTTTCCACATGTAGTACACATCCCCATTCTTTCCTGGTTTGCAATAGAGAACCACAATTGTACCATCATACATAACCCAACCATCTCTCCACAATCCTCGGAAACCCAGATAGTTATCCATCCATTCTTTTTCAGCCTCCTTCTCAGCTGGTGTCAGCTTTCAGATAAACTGGCTCTGGAGGGAGAGGATTGCTTCAAAGCAGCGATCTGTGTAGTTTACAACAGAACCTTCAGAACACGCAGCAGCATGAGTGATATCTTCAACACTGGCACCATTGCTGTACCTTCCCATTCAGAAAAGGGTAACAGCTAACTGCTGCTCAACAGGTGTTTGCCCAAGGTTTGTGTCATTCTTGAAGATGTCATGATCCTCAATAAGATCAAGAATTGTGAGGAAGACAAGAGGTGTAACATGAAGCATGTTGATGAAGTGGTGATAGTGGGCAGGATCTTGAGAGAACTCCCATGCCAGATCTATGTTACCACATTTCAGGACAGGAGGGCACTCATTAAGATAATGAGTTTCCTCGAGCAGAGCAATGATTTCAAGATCTTTTTGGAGGTTCAGAGTGTATTCTTCAAGGTTTTTGGGTGGTGAAAAAATGTCTCAAGTTGCCATAGATAGTAAGAAAGAGTCTATGAGGTCTTTCCTCAGTGGTTTCAAAGGCATAGCAAGGATAATTAACAAGAAAGGTGCCCAACTTATCATAGATTAATGATTTGAATCAGGCATGACATGCACACTGCGCGGACTCCGAAATCTACCTTATATAAGCTAATTCTTATGTGTGCTGTGAGCTGCATCTGCAAGCTGTGCCCAGCTTTGAACATCCCTATTGAATGATAATTTCTTTTTACATTTTATACTTTGCTCTCCTGTACTTCAAGTTCCACTCCAAGAATTCTGTTTCTTGCATCCAGAACTTGCATTTTCAGCCAGTACTAGGGATTTCATGGGTAACCCCTACCTTTGGCCAAACCCTTACCCTTACCCCCAGAAACCCATAGCTGGTTGTGCTTGAGCAGGTACTTCTCTCTACCCATTGTTCAACAAAAAGTAAATAGAGATAACCAACAGCTTGCATGAATATTTTCAGAAGAGGGACAGCACTATGAGTCTAATATTACTCAGGAGCACTTCTGAGGAACACACCTTCCTATGGTGCACTGTGATAGAGGGGTACATTGCTCCAGGGCTCCAAAGCTACCTGATGCTATGTAGACACCTGTAGTCCATAGTCGTTTTGCAGATGTTGAAGGGACCTCAGTCCTTGCAAGACTTGATTTAAAAACACACGAAACATGCTACTAGTACTTAAGTAAAGAGCAAACAAGGATGAAAGCAACGAGAATGAAGAAAAAGTAGTCTACTGTCCAGAAAAATATCATCAATTTACCCTTCCAAAGAAAGTCCACAGGAGTGCTTTCATTCACCAAAACTAGTTTCTCTGAGCAATCCCAACTCCTTCCAACTAGGAAGATTAAATGCCAATGGTACATATCTTATCCCAATAATCACCCCAAGCTGATTCATACACATTCATGCAAACTGAAGTGCAAGGGGTGCACAGCCCTTTACAATGCTTCTCCTTCAACCACTTCTGATTCCACCAATATTGCAAGTGGTGGGGGTGATGAGAGGAGGTAATGTTGAGTCTTATCTAGGCTATTGTGCCATGTCTGGAACCAATTTCAAAAAGAATCAAAAATTCAAAAATTCTGTCCATGGTGGACCACTACCCTCTTTCTATGCAGATATTTAGTCTAATGGAATTTACCCTTGTTTCTTTCATTTTGCCTGATGTGCTGAGTTCAATTCCTCCTTGTGGTATTTTTTTGCCCTTCCTCTTCTTGATAATTAATCCAGTCAGCTCTAGCACCATAGCAGCTGTAGCACTTCATAGTCAGATCTCCAAGATCTTTGATCAAACAAGAATGTTTAATTTTTTCCAAATTGATGCAAGCCTGAAGACAACCTTCAGATTCTTGGGACCAGTTCAAAAAAATCAAAAATTGTGAATAATATTTGATAGTAAGTATGTAACCAGTACCAATAAGTACATGAAACTATCAAGAATACTAGTAGACCAAAGTATCATGTGTATGAACAAGCAATTAGTACTGAACCCTTGTATCAACTAATAATGGCAACAGGTAGTCAAGAACTAACTTTGCGAGGAACAAAATGCACACCACCAATGTCCACCCAGTTGTAGCAGGCCAAGATAGAACATTCTATGAAAGAGGGAAAGGGGATTGTTAGTACTAGATAGCTTACATTGAGGAAACCCTGTATCAAGGGAGCAACTGGTGAACAATGGGGGAGCTGTGCAAAAAAGGGGAGATTGGAGACAGAAGAAGATGGCACTGACTGATATTTTATATCTTCCAAATGATATGCCTGTTTGTCCAAAATATTCCACCTTCAGCACACAGACACCATGATCATTGACAATGGGTGTGCTTGTGAGATCTTTGGGAGTCAGCAGTGAGATTTCAACTGATTAATTAGAAGAGGTAAGCAGCTACTGACCTGTGCTGTAGTGGTTGATTTCTACTTTCCAGTAGAAATCTACAGGAACTATTTGGGAACTACCAGAGAGCTCATGAGATTTGGGTGGTCTATGGAGAAACAAGGCTGCTACAGGAGTCCCAGAGTTTGGCCAGCCCTCTCCAAGTCTCGTGAGAAAGGGCCTTGCTACTGGGAAAAAATGCCTTTGCAGATGAATGGCATAGCACAGACCTGTTGTTCTTACAGTCATTTGCATAATGCTTTGCACAACAAATTTTCCAAAAATCTGTTTGGTTGTGTTGGGTAGCATGATTTTCATCACACTTGCTGCATGCCTGTGTGTGAGTCCTGCTGCTATACTTGGCTTACAGTGGGCATCTTTGGGCCTTTGGCCATGATGCAACAAGGATGTGAGGTAGTCAGTATTACCAATATTGAGGCCTTGACAGTGACACAATGTTCCCACAAAGGGGTTTGTAGTTCCATAGTACATTATTGCCATAATGATGTAATGGTAGAAAATTGCAACACATCCAGGACCCCGCATCTCAGAAGGTGTGCATGAGTACATCCTGGCTTTGCACAATGAGGGGAGGCATCCACAAGGTATGATAGACCTTGCTGGCTGCAGCCTTCACACCATCAACTACATTTTGAGGCAGCTCAAGGCATCCAAAAATGGGTTGAGTGTGACATTTCAGATCCTGTTCAAACAGGACCAAATATGTTTTGAAAGATATGTTGTGCAAGGCATTATGCAAACGACTGTAAATCAAGTTTTGACCAATGCAGGAGAGGCTCAGAGCATAGAACATACTTACACTTTGAGGAGACACCTAGTGATGAGCACGGGTAACCCGCGGGTGTTTTCACACCTACCTTTACCCTTACCCGATGCAAACCCGTACCCTTTCCATGGGTAAGGGTATTTCAGGGGTGGGGGTAGGGGTTTGTACAGGGTTTGGGGGGTCGAAAACCCACAACGGGTGAACGTTAGGGTCAAGTATAATGTACACTACGTAGTCTAATCAATCAGTACATAAGTCAAGGTGACGCCCCCCTCTTTTTGTCGTGTCATCAGATGTCGTTGTGTCGGTCGTTCGACCGTCCACTGTCATTGTCGTCGTGTCGTCGTTGCAGCGCGGTGTCATCATTGTGTCATGTAATCTGTGGGGGACATGTTAGAGACGTGGGTTGGGACAGGGGTGCTCACCAGTGGGTCATAAGATGGATGACAACGACGAACGATGAATTGGCCGTTGTTCGTCGTTTGGTTGCCACGTTGCTAACAGCGATGTAGCACCTGGATTCAATGTCAAAGGAAGGAGTGAGATGACGGGGTTGTAACGACTCACCTGGGCTCGAGTGGTGGTGCTGGGCATTCGTCACTTTTCATGGTGTTGGGCGCTCATTGACATGCCAGGTCATCACCGTCACCTGTCATCCATTCGGCTGGTGATGTGGTGTCGCCTCGTTGTTGTTGTTGTTGGCATGTGTAGTGGTGGTTCAGGGCGTCGAACCACGGTTGGGGAAGGTGGCGGTGGTTAAAGTGTGGTTCGGTCGTTGTCGGTTGTCACGTCACTGACGTGGCACCTGTTTGTTGTGTGAAGAAAGGAAAGGGTGCGGGGGAGGGATCACATTGCGCACCTGAACTAATGTGGGCAGTGACGACGATTGCGTCGTCACCGTCTGGACGACGTGGCACGTCCGTTGACGTGCCAGGTCGCCGTCAGCCGTTGGGCTGCTGACGTGGCGTTGCCATGTTGTCGTTGTTGTCGACGTGTGCGATGGTGGTTCAGAACGTTGAACGGCGGTGGTTGCAGAAGGTGGGGTTGTTGGTCATGGTTACGGGTGGTCGTCAATGTGGATAGTGGTAGTTGAGAAAGAAAAGTGTTTGTTTGTTGTTGATGTATGTAACGTTCCTGGCAAACACCGCTCATGCGGCTCACATGATCTATTACATAATCTGTTGACCACCCTTGACTTACCCTCACAAAAACCCCCAACCCTTGTCAAGGGTTGGGGTTTTTTGAGGGTCAGAAAATCCTAACCTCTACCCTTACCCTCCCTACCCTTACCCTTGTACCCCTAAGGGTTTGCAAACCCTTGCACATCACTAGAGACACCTCAGCATGCAAGACCCATGCCCACCACTATAGATGGTGGGTGGTCAGACGAAGAAGAAGAAAAAATCAAAATCAAACTACTTGTATACGTCGTTGCAACTCATGAACTTGAAGAACATGAGTCACCTCAAATCACCCTGCTGGTGGTCAGGCTGTTGCCTGTATCTCTAAATCAACTTTCAATGAAATTCAAGGCAGGCAGCAGAGGGTTTAGAATCAAAACTTACATGTGGATCCTACATTTGTGTTGCCCCAGCTTCGGCTTTTAGCTGGTTCAAGCCACAGCTGAGCTGAGCCAAGCTGATGGATCTGGCTTGGCTGCTGCTTGAGCTGGCTAGAGCCAGGATTTTGACATGCTAGCTCATTCATAACAAATAAAATTGGCTTTTGTATGTACATATTATTCAACTAGTAGTAGAATATACTGTAAATGAACCTAAGTAACCTATTAACACAAAGACAACTATAACTTTATCCTAATCAACTAATTATGTATTCAGTAAGTGCACTACTAGTGTTTAAAGGTTCAGTCCATAGGACCGCAAAAAACCGGTGGACCGAACTGAACCGGACCATGGACTGGTCTTCTTTTCGGTTGCAGTTGCCCCAATTTGGGGTTGGTCCGGTTGCCAGTTGCCTCATTTCGAAAATATTTTAAAACCGTTCAAAGACCGGTTTTAATCGGTTGCAACCAGTTAAACGGTCACGTGCGTTACATAGCCTTGTAACCACGTTTATTGCCTTTTATTGGGTTTTTGTTTCATCAAAAACGGTTAAGAATTGAGAAAGATATAACCAAATCCATATTTTACCCGAGTCTCTATGAGATGTAATTCAGTTTCAGTCATAGCTATGTCAAATCTTCATTAAATCTCTTGAAAATTGGTAGAATGACGGGTATTTATATGCTTTACTATTTTATATAACCCGTTTATTTTTCAGAGTAATAATGGTTGAGATACAAATGGTTTATATTGGTATAATAAATTATACGCAAAAAAACCGGTCTGGATCGGTCTGAACCGGTATCATGGACCGCAAAAGACCGGTCCTAGGTGGTTCGGTTCGGTTCCCTCAATATCTGGGTTGGTCCTGGACCGGTTGCGGTCCACGGTTGCGCGTTTTCGGGGCAAAAAACCGGACTGAACTGAACCTTTAAACACTATGCACGACAGGTCATTAAGTACAAGGACATGTGGGTATAACTACATATGGGGGGCCAAGATGGAAGAATGGACAGGGAAGACAAAAGAGAGATGAAAGAAGCTGAAGTGCTATATATACAAGGCACTTTAGGGCAGGTTACAATTTAGGGCAGGTTCTCATCTAAGCCTGTCCTAAAGTGCCTTTTCATCTCTCTTTTCCTTTCCTTCTCCATTCCCCTCCTCCCATCTTGCCATATCTATGCCATAGCTACACCCCCTTGTATTAGTTACCCCCCACACCGCCCCACCCCTCATATATACTTGTTCTTACTTACATGTAGAATATTTCATTAATTTAAAATGGCATGCCCCCATAAAAATACAAAACTAACTACAAAAAGCTCCCCAGGCAATAAAATACCCTACAAATTGGATCAACACGAGGCGACGATGATGAGGTGGCACATCAACAGATGTGCCACTTTATCTGATGGTGACAAGGACATGCCCAGCCCAGGTAAGCTAGCACGACCCCTCCTTCAAGTTTTGCTTTTCACACCAAACATGCCAGTTTGCTGTTAGTGACATGGGACCCAGACGATGAACATCAATTGTCATCATTTCTTTGGACACCACTGCAAGACGACAACCACGACACACACAAGGACATGGCAAGACCATGTCACCAGCCAACAAGGGAATTCAAAAGATGATGCAAAGGTGGTGGCATTTGAGGAGCAGGCCACTGAGGGGATAGAAGTTGCAGAGTGGGGAGAAGAAGCCGTTGTGTTGCCATGTGTTCATCCACACCCCATTCAACCAATATCCACCCAAGCAGAACCTACTGGAAAACTTGTTACCATGTCTGCACAGGTGTCGTCTTTATCAAAAACATTGTCATTCATGCTGTCAATGCCAATGCTGATTCGTGTGTCTGTGGTCTGAAGATATTTCACATTTTTTGGTTTTGCAGGGTTAACCTCTATCTTGGTCAGTTCTTCACCTTTCTTTATTGTTGAGGGCTCGTTTACAACATATTCTAGTGTCATTTGAAGGTTCTAAAGAGACAAGAGGTTTGCATGTCTGTGTTCTGAAGATATGTTACATTTTCTGTTTTGTGGGGCAAGTATAGTGTTTTAAAGTCCAGTCTAGTCTGGTTTTTTTACCTCAAAACAAGGCAACTGGCAACCACAACCAGTCCATACCAATCCAGATATTAAGGGACCACAACCAGACTCTTTTAGACCAGTCCTAATCAGTCCATAACACACAAAAAACTGGTCCAGACTGGTTGCAACTGGTCTTTTGTTGTAAAATTTATTGTACCACAGAAACTAAATATTACCTTACATACATAGCATACATAGATAGATATCTTAAATCTCCATAGACTGATTAAAAATTTAAGCAATTCTGTAAAGATTTGACTGAGATATGGCAAAAACGGAAAGGATATACATTCAAATTGCATATAAAAATGTTTTTGGCCATATCTCAACCAATTCATGACCACTTTTGATGATTGAAGGGCCAAAAATTAGGTAAAAATGTGTGCGAGTAAGGTACAATACGTGATGGGAGGAAAGACTGGTTGCAACCGGTCTAAACCAGTCTTTTTCAGTTTTTAAATATTTACAAAAACATGGCAACTGGCAACTGGACTGACCACAAATGTGGGCAACTGCAACTGGAAAAAGACTGGACCATGGTTCAGTCCAGTTCGGTCCTATGTATATCTTCAGTCCTGTAGACTGGACCTGTGAACACTAGGCAAGTACCCTAGGTCAATCAAATTTCCATCGTTTCTTATGATCTAAGGCTTGTTTACAATCTACTATAGTGTTGCTTGAAGGTCCTGAATAGATGAGAGGTGTGTGTGTCTGCGCTCTCAAGATATTCCACATTTTCTGGTTTTGGGGAGGGGGGGGAATTTGAAGGAGCTGAAGAGATGACATCCATATGTGTTCCTATTTCTATGCTATCTCACATCCTCACCTATTTTTTGTGAATTTCTATTTATTTTCAAAACCCTAGAGTTTCTACTATAGTTCTATGCTTGAAATATACATTACATTGTGTATCTATCAGGTAGACAGCATCTAATTTACCCAGATTTATAGTCACATCACTTTAAAAATTATGTGCTGGCTTGAGCCAGCTTTGAGTCAGCTAAACACTGAGCTGAGCCACTTGAGGAAATTTAGCTGGCTTACATCAACCAGCTCTCGGCTAGCCAAGCTGCGGCAACACTATCCTACATAGACGTCAACAATATGCATAGGAACCAGACTTCCTACTTACACTTGAGACAGCAACAAATATGTAGGGCTACATACAGTCATCCGCCCCTTAATGATATGCCACCCCCATTTGATACACTTTTGACTAGCCAATATCTCACTCAATACTAGACTGATTTTTACGAAACAAGTGGTGACAAGTAGTACAAACTCATATCTACTACCATACATAATTTGGATGCAATTGAGGCAGAATTGGCAAAGCTGTGGAGCATACAAAATGGACTGTTTTTCGGAAATAGCCAAATACAGTCACACCCCTCAAGGATACACCCATAATCTTAATTTGTCTTTGTGAAATGTGGGTCAAACATTCTGAAATTTGGTATGGTGATAGAAGGGAATTTATCTGAGATTTTCATGTAGTTTTTGTAGAGAAAAGTTGTGCTCAAATCTGTTGAAGCTAATTTCTCATTTTGGGTGTATCATTAGCAGGTGGATGACTGTATGTGTAAACATATGCTCTCAAAACTGTGGGATACACTGGAATCTCTGTTGTCCTGATATATTTACTCTCAATTTCTAAGTTTGGTGATGGAATTGTACATCAATCATATGCACAAAACAAAATTAAAAGATCCAAAAAATGAACAAATAAATATGATCTGAATTCATATTTAGAATATGCTAAAATCTTGGCCCAGGAAGTTCAGCAAATTCTAAATATGAATTTAGATCATATTTATTCATTCATTTTTTGGATCTGATCCCTTTTTTTATTGTATTTAGAAGACACTAAAGTCTTGGCCCAGGAAGTTCAGCAAATTCTATGCATATGATGGATGTACAATTCCATCACCAAACTTAGAAATTGAGAGCAAATATGTCAGGGGAACACTGGTTTTAGTCTATTCTGTAGTTTTTAGTGCCTATGTTTACACATATGTGGCCCTTCATATTCATCGCTGCCTGAAGTGTTACGGGTAGGATCGATGTGATGAAGCAAGACTCTGGATTTGGGTCATCATCGGAACCTCGAAGTACCATGAAGAAGATCCGTCGCAAACCCACGGCATTCCCATGTTGTAAACGTAGAACCTACAACCTGGGATCGAGCTTCAGCCTGCGAGAAAGCAATACTTACAATGAAGCACACGATGACTCTGGGCTTTATCAATGACAGCTTCGGTCTGGACTCTGAATTGTGAGTTCCATGACGGGGAGGAGGCAGGATTCCCTAGCTAGTGGCATACTTTAGCACCGGGAGATCATTAGAACAAATTGACAGAAGATAAAGAAGATCGCGCTTTGAACCACATGTGACATGTCGGGCGTAGCACCGTTAGCGACGATGAATACAAAGCAGGATTGGATTTGCCCAGCCAGTCTCGAGGCTAGTCCTGGCCAGGGTTCATCCAGCTCTCAAACGCTACGCAGCCATTAAATCTCACTACTCGCACATAACCATGAGCAACGCATAAAAAGAATATATTTTTTGACACGACAAGCCATGGTTGCATAATCATATCCTCCCTGTTCCCCTCCTCCCCTCTACGCAATAAGCGTCGAAGCAGTAGCAGCATCATACTTGAACGTCGGCGCAATCTGCTGCTTGGTCTTATAATACCTCGCGAGCCTATGGATCCTGGACTCGATAAGGATAAGACGGAACTTGGAGTCCTTGTCCTTCCTGTTGACTTCGAGGTGCTTGCGGACGGCAACCGCCTTTTTGATGAGGTGCCAGAGGTCCTCAGGGATGGATGGGCCAAGTCCTATCCCCAAACAAAAAGGTACGTGCAAATATGCGCGAAGGAGGAATGGAAAGAAGGAAGGAAAAAAAAAAAAGAAAAAAAAGAAAGCGGTAAGATGAGGGGGGTTGAGCGTGAAAGGAAGAAACGCACCTTGAGATTTAAGGATACGCAAGATCTTGTTTCCCGTAACGAAACGAACTTGGGGGATCCCATGCGAGTCTCGAAGGGTGACGCCGATTTGGGATGGAGTCAGGCCTTTACGGGCGAGCTTGACGATGTGGTCGACGACGTCTTCGGGGGTGGTTTTGAGCCATGAGGGGGGTGCCCTGCGGTATGGTAGTGCGGAGGACGCTGGATTGCAAAGGTAGTTAGTTAGTTGAAGAAAAAATGGCGTCGAAGGAGGAGACGCACAAATGCCCTTTCCGGGAGCGTGCATGCGACCCATTGTTACTCTGTACAATAACGCCCGATTAGAATCAACGACGAGGAGGAAAACTGGCGACTTGCAATAATTTGGCGGGGGTGAAGTCTTGAAGCCTTGAGGAATTGCACCAGGGATTGTGGTGAGAGCGTCAACAACGAGGATGGCGGCAACTCCCGAAGTGGCTGAGGTGTAACTATACAGCTGTAAACTTTATTCGATCGGTGATTTGTGTGTTTGTACGTGTTACTGACCCATCCAGCTCGCCCATTTGCAAGAGGTGTCGTAGGTGACCCAACTCTCCTTCCTCAAGGTATATACCGCCCCCTCGTCGTTTTTGTTGTGAAGAGCTCATCGCGTTTTTTACAGCATGAAGTTCAACATTGCCAGTAAGTCATCTCTACATAATCGTCATCGCCATCGTCCCAACCACCCAAACAGACCCCGCAACTGGGGCCCAAAAACTCCTCGACCTCGACGATGAGAAACGATAGTACGCATTCTTCCCATCTTCCCCCTCCTCTCCTCTAACCACCCCCCATTTCAGCCGCGTATTCTACGACAAGAAAATTGCTCAAGAAGTCCAAGGCGACTCCTTCGGCGACGAATGGAAAGGGTACATCTTCCGCATCACAGGCGGGAACGACAAACAAGGGTTTCCCATGAAACAAGGTGTCCTCCTCCCCTCTCGCGTCCGCCTCCTCCTCGCCGACGGGCACTCGTGCTACCGCCCCCGCCGCTCCGGCGAGCGTAAGCGCAAATCCGTCCGAGGATGCATCGTAGGACCCGATATCGCCGTTTTGTCCCTTGTCATCGTCAAACAGGGAGAGAGTGAGATTCCTGGGTTGACGGATACGGTTTTGCCAAAGCGGCTTGGGCCGAAGAGGGCTACGAAGATTAGGAGCTTCTTTAATTTGGGCAAGGAGGATGATGTTAGGAAGTATGTTGTTAGGAGGGAGGTTAAGAGTGCTAAGAAGGAGGATGCAAAACCTTATACCAAAGCGTGAGTTTTCTGTTTCCTGAAAATTGCTTTTTTTTGTTGGTGGCTCATGAATGCTTTGTAGGCCCAAGATCCAACGACTGGTCACACCCATTCGTCTCCAACGTCGTCGCCACCTCAACGCGCTCAAGCGCCGCAGGATAGAACACCAGAAGGAGCAAAAGACCGAGTACGAGTGCGTATTACTTCCATGTCCCCCAGTCTCTTTCTACCCAATAACTAACACCCCCACTCTTAACAGCGCCCTCATCGCCAAACGCGTGTCCGAGAAAAAGGCAAAGGCCGCAGCTATCAAGGCGTCGCACCACAAAGCGACCGCTGCCGCCACCACCACTGCCTAAATCGTCTCGGGTGGTGCTACCTCTGCCTAAATCATTGCGGATGGCTGTTACTCGAGCGGGTGGTGTTATGTCGTTGTGTTTGTCTTGCGTATCGCTCCGCTTTTAAGTATGCATCATGTCCTAGGCTAAGCAAACATTTCATGATTTTGAAAACCAAGATGGTGGTTGTATGCGACTATGTAGTGAGATTTAGTAAGTGGAGCGTGGCGTCTGAGAGACGGATCATCCTGCTTTGTACCATCACATGTATGTAGCTCGAAGCCTTCTTCGTGATTTCACCGCACGCGATCTTCTTTCCCTTCTCTCAACGATCTTCCAGTGCTAAACTATGGCCGCCAGTTGGCCAACGTGAAGTACTAGCTGGGGAATTTTGCCTCCGAGTCCTCCGTCACAACTTTTTTCGTTTATGCGAGTTGGGAGTCTGGAAAGTGATGAGCCAATGATGAGCTGCTTTTCTTTTTCCACCGTCACCACTTGCCCCATGCGAATCCCGTCAACGTGAATCTAGATTGCGAAGGCTCTACTCGTTCAGTGCTTGCGTGTAAGTTCCCCTCAGCTCACCCCCATCTAACTCGGTGTCTGTAGCCTTCAGTGGAGTCACTTGCCAGGTCATCCGAAGAAGAATCAGGTACATACATACGGTCGGGCCCCACATTGGAAGCCTCCTCCAGATCCAAAAGCTTTCATGTGATAATCGTCCTCGGAAGGCCTTGCACTGGCACTGACGGAACCCGTGGACGTCAGCGTTTCAAAAACATCAACAGAAAGAAGAAAAAGGTCCTTCCGAGTCTTTATGATGATATCACTCTAGAGTGGATGATTCTGCCAATCCCCTTTCGAGCTCGAGGGATCTCTAGTCATCGCGCGTCTGGCTCTGTTACGGATCATCTGTGTGTTCAAGTGACTGTTAAGACTCAAGATGGGAGGGAACCACTCGCATCCGAGTCCTCGGTGATAGTATGTACTACACCCAAACGAACACCTTGAAGGCACATGACGTTCGGCGCGTTCAATCATCAAGGTGAGAACTTTTCTCGTAAGAGTACTTAGAATATTGAAACCAGCATATTAGATAGAAAATCGGTGCTATAGAAGTACCAGATACGAGTGGAAGATATGCTGTCATGGCCCGTGGGTTGAAGAATGATCGGCCGTCCAGAAGATAGGTCACCTAGCTGTCTCCTGATTTTGCGCTTTCAATTCGGTGAGATTGGGTACTTCTGTCTTCCATGATTTACATGTGACTGACCTTCCGACGCCAAAGCTGATTTGAACAAATTGTTCAAGAGTTGTCGAAAATCCATGGAGTACCGGGAGAATTTCTCATGGGAAGAACTAACTATAGCTCAAGAAACCACCGTGCTCATTAACACGTTCGAAATCCGACATGAGACAGTCATGCCTTCATAGCACAACGGAGGTCTCGAACGATTAACGATAGGCAATTTGGGGGCTCGCGAACTTCGATTTTCGAAGCAAAGATCTCGACTCGTCGGGGACTTCAGAAACCGGGCCCCATCTTGCTTTTAGTTGTCCTTCCTACCAGCTCGATAACGGTGATGGTGGTGCATCACACCCGCCGATTCTCCGGCAGGGAATAACGAAACGCTCAGCGGAACAATTCCACGTTGTTCGAGAAAATCCGAATTCGTAGTGCCGTAAAATGCCACTTGGGGTATGATTTTCGCCCCTTCAAACTTTCGGAACCGCAAATCATCATAGCTATTACTGGCAACACCTCCCGACAAGAATAATCAGGTGTACAATTCACCAAGTGCACGGCTCTGATACCCTCGACCCATTGTGACTATTGGCGTATAAAAGACTGCGATTACTCCCCTATTGGCCTCAGCAAACTTGCCCACAACTTTGCACCCAGTTCTTCAACATGCAACTCAGAATCGTAACCTCTGCTCTCTTCGCCCTCTGCGTAAATGCGGCTACTACCGCCAGCCACGCATACACTGGACCTGGTGGGTTTTATCCATCGTAGTTGAACATTTCACTGACTCTCTTTCAGCGACATCCTATACCCCTTCCGGCGTAAGCCCCCGTATTATCAAGTTATCAGCAGTCTCTTTGCTCACTTGGTTTTTATTTTATTAAAAAAACAAAAAGATTATTGGTACATGCGGAGTGGCCATTCAAAATTCCGACTTTTCCGTGGCCCTCGACAAACCTCAGTTTGGGACTGGCGGATTGTGCGGACGCAAAGTCAAAGTGTCCTGTAAGCGCTCTCGAGCTCCATTGAACTCTCCTGTACGCGATGACCGATGCTTTTTTTTTTTTTATAGATGGAAAAAAGAGCGCTATCGTCACTGTTGCCGACAAATGCCCTACCTGCGTTGGCGGCATAGGTCTCACCCCAGCCGCATTCAAGTATTTTGCGCCGCTCGAAAAGGGAACGTTCGAAGCCACTTGGGAATTCGTATGAGAGGGATATCGTGTCCATCTTCTTTATCTCATGAATAATTCTCCGTCGCCATATCTGTCCGAAAGACATTATATTTGTGAACGATGCTTATGCTTGCTGCAGGCAAATTTAGCCCCACGTTGTGATCAATACGCTGGTGCGTGTAATAAATATCCTTGAGGTTTGGTAGTAGTTGTACTACCGTAAATAAATGGTTTACGATTTACTTACTTCATATAGGTGTGAAAAGCACTTCAACTGAATGTCTACGCACTTGGATTGAGCATAAACAAAGCACTCAAATGTGTGCACTGGCCGCACTGGGGTGTGTGTTGAGGAGCCTCCAACCCAATTTCTTACCTACTACCCCCTCCCCTCCTCCTTAAGCCGTCCCCAAAAAGAGACCCCGACGCGATCTGTACCTCTCAACAGGTGGATGGGGAAGTTATTTCGTCCTAGTTGGCAATGGCGTGTTCGCTCAGTTATGCGCAAGTTGTCATGTCAAAAAATATATTCTTTTTATGCGTTACTGATTATTATGTGAGATTTGATAACTGGATGGCCTCTATGTAAGTGCTGGATGATCTCTGATTGAGGAAGGACGAGCCTTGTAACGCTATGTGAACCCGAGGCTGTTCAAAGCCTTCACCGGCGCGCGCGACCTTCATGATCTACTAAGCAGAGTAATACAATATGCGGGGAACAACGGGCTTGTATTTTGGGGCCAAAAACTTTGCACATTCGGTGCACCTGTTTCGACGTTGAAGAAAAGTTGAAAAAGAGCGACGCATACGAGTGTGTATTGCAAAGTGTGCCTAAGATTTGCCTAAGATTGAAAATCGTTCCAGTCGTCACCCCGATCTCTTCGGTGGGCGTGTGAAAAACGTCTTCATCCTCACACTGTGTCCAAATCATGTCGTCCTTCGCCGACTGCCCTCTGGAAGTCATCGAAGTGGTGATCGACCTCCTCCGGGGTTATTTAGATGCCCTCAAGGCATGCTCTCAGACCTGCACAGCGCTTCTGCCCCTATGTCGCAAATACATCTTTCAATCTCTCATCCTCGCCACTTCACAACGCAGTGGTTACTCTACCCCCGGGACCCCTAGCAACGTCACGGTGATCAGACCAAAATTTTGGCACGTTCTAGACACCAATCCGACAATTTCAGAGTACGTCTACACGTTAACATACTATATCGACACCTACGACTCTTTGAATGATGACGTTCCTCGGGTGCTGGAGCGGCTTCGCCACGTACGCTCTTTCTATTTGTATGGCGGGATCCCCAAGGCAGGTTGTAAACAAGCCCCCCAACGTTTCAGAGACACGCTACTGCGTGTCGTTCAATCGCGCTTCATCACATGTTTAAAAATCTCTGTCGACGATTTCCCCATCACTGCTTTCCTTGCTTGCGTTAACCTCACGGACCTCTCCATCTCTGACATCTACTTTGATTCTGCCGACGTAGACGAGCAAGAATCTTCCACTTTGATTTTTTCAAATTTAGACTTGAAAGTGTCGGACATCCGAGTCCCACGACTTCAGGTGTTCGCCTATGAGCATGCTATGAGCGGTCAATATGCGATGCGCCTTCTCAATGCTAAATGTCCCAACGGCGGCCCAATGGTAGACTTTACCAATGTTCGGACGTTGTGTGTCTATCTGGAGGAAGATTTGGATTTGACTGTAGTGCATGCATTAGTGAACGCAACGAACAAGCTCGAAACTCTGCGATACAATCGTAAGCACCAAAAATGGAGGTTGATTCTTACACTCACTCACCCTTGTTAGTGGATAACTTCAACGGCGAATATGGGAGCGAATATGGGAGTATTGCCCCGTCGATCAATAAACGTTCCCTATCGACGCTGAAACGACTCCACCTCTCCTATGATTTCGAAGTGCATGAATCTGCCACAGAGTTTGTGTGTGGAATATGCAAGGAACTCGGCATTCTTTCAGGACTCCCGAACGTGATTGAAGAAATTGCCATAGAGGCTGAATCCCTATCTGTCCGTCGGGGTGAATTGTGTGTTTGGGGAATGTTGGACACCGTGCTTTCCAATGGGTTTCCAATGCTCCGCCGGGTTTCGCTCGATATTGAAATGTCAATAGAAGCGAAAGAGTGGAGGGAGGCTGGTGCGAAGGAGGAACTAGACGAGATCCCGACGAGATATCTTCCGTTGTTGTCAAATACTACGACGGCTCTCTTCTCTTTTTTGACAAACGTCTTAGATTGATTTTTGGCCGATATAAATGATATTTCTCTCTTGCGCATCCTAGAGACGAAGATGTTGTTCAGAAATACGCGATTAGGGAGAAGGAAGATGGGCAGGTTGGGTTGGCGTGTACGAGGGAACGGGAAGTGGTATTTATCCCCGCCTATTCTCTTTACCCTTTTCTACCTCATCTAACTCCCTTCTTTATCACAGACAATGTACAGCGACGTAGCAGGCGCCACCGAACCCGTGTGCGACCTCGACAGGGTATGCCATCTTATACCGGTGCATCTTATACTTGGGAAGATTAAGGATTTCATGTACGTTCCCTTTTCTCCCTGCACGTCTTTGTTTCCCACTTATGGAATCAATAAATGTACGATGACAGCCCTGCAAAAGTACACGAAGCCCTCACATCACCAATCTCCGAGCGGGGGTACGCATCAATAACCGTGATTGAGGGAACGGGGCACTTCAAGTTGGTACGCCATTCCTTTCCTCCTCCTTCTCTTCGGTTCCCTTCTTCTAACAATTAGCGCGATCAGATACCACAAGAGAAACCTAAAGAACTAGGAACGGCTATAAGTATACGACATTCTGATGGGCAAGAACTGAGCGCCGCTAAAGCTCAGAATGTGGTCTCACTATGCTAATTATATATGGTCTTGCTGTCGTGTTATATTCACTGTCCTCTTATATCTTGCTTTGCTAGGACGGAATTTGGAAAGAGCTGACCTGGCACAGCTTTGCAGTGGTCAACGTGGGAACTTCTTAACGACTTGCATAAGGAGGGGGGACAATCCTGATGGAACTCCGATCCTGGTGCGTACAGAAACGACCTCAAAAAGTGGCCCAGTATGCGTACAGAAAAATTCAAAAATATCGCCCAACTCTGATCCTCCCTGAGTACAGAAACCTTTGGTCGCCAGTGAACTCCGATCTACCAGAGTACAGAAATCTCTCGGTTGGCCTCCGGAGGTATGGAATTGGGCCAGCACCGGCCCCTTTGGAACAGTGGTACCCCACCATGCCATAAGAAAAAAATTGGCCCACCCCCCCAGCTGGATGGTGAAAAAAAAAAGGTTCTCGTGTTTTTAACTCCGATCCATTTTGCGTACATTTTGGGCCAAATTTGGCCGAACCCGATCCGTATGTGTACATTTTTTGGTTGATGCAGGCCTGACAGAAACGGCCAAAATCGACCATTTCGGATCGGAGTTCCAAGCGCATAGTCCCCCCTCCTCTTGTATACGTTTTAAACCACCACTTGCATCCTCGGGATAGAAATGCGACATCATACTTGCCCACCGTTTGAAAATATTTCAATAGCCCACTGGAGGCGCAAGGACTAGGAGCAAGCCCGATATGGTCGTTCTTGATTCTCTTCGCCAAGGACGTAGAGATTGGGCTCAAATAGACTTTGCCTTCCCTCACCATTTGAAGGGGCTGAAGGCACATGCAGTCTTGAAGGTCCCTGAAGTCCCATTAGGGTGGCGTCTGGCCCAATCTCAACAATTTTATATTACATCCAAACTAACACTGAAGGCACATGGCGTTGGGGCGTTCAATTATCAAGGTGAGAAAATTTCCCAAGACTACTTATGAAAATTGAAACCAGCATGTTGAGATAGAAACGCGGCATTCTCGCTGTTCGAAAGAAAAAAAAGGGCAGGAATGGAGAGCGAAAAAGAAGAGGCTCTTCCTCAATGGTCTGCCAGCCGGAGGCGCATGGACTCGGGATAAGTTCGGCATGGTCCTGCTTCTTTCTCTTCGCTCGAAAAGGCTTTCTGAGTTCCCCTTCAACTCCGTGAGATTCGGATTGAGGTGGGACTCTATCTCCTATAACTTCCCGTGGGTGATCTTCCGCTGTTGACATCCTGAAATAAGCTGACCTTACGAATTGTCATAAACCCTCAAGTCAGGAAGGGGCAATAATAGAAGGTTTCATTCGCTGAAACTTGAAGAAGCTAGTCTGAAGAATTGTCCAAGAATCGCTGGAAATCCATGGAGCATCGGGAGAATGTCTCATGGGAAGAACTATTGTTCAAGAATTCACCGCGCTCGTTGACGCGTTCGAAATCCGACATGAAGCAGTCATGCTTTAAGAGCAGCAGAAATCCTCAAAAATAAAACAGAAGTCTCGGTAGGCAATTGGGGGCTCGCCAACCGATATTCGAAGCAGAGGTCGTCGTCTCGTTGGCGCTTCAGAGCGCGGGTCACGTATAGCCTTTGGTTGACCTTCCTTCCAACTCGATAGCAGCGATGGTGGTACACGGTCACACCGTTGATTCCCCGGCAGGGCAAGACCACAAACAACGAAACACCCAGGGAACAGTTCCACGCTGGCGAGAAATGCGGATTCGTTGCCCCGTAAAATTCCACTTGGAGTAATGCTTTTCGCTCCCTCAAACGTCGGAACCACAAATAATCATAGCTGTTAATGCCAACACCTACCGACAAGAATAAGTGGGTCTACACTTCATGAAACGCACGGCTATGATACCCTCGACCCTTTGTGACTATTGGACGTATAAAAGACTTCGATTACTTCCCTGTTGGCCTCAGCAAAGCCCACTTGAACACCTATTTCTTCAACATGCAACTCAGTATTGTAACCTCCGCCCTCCTCGCCCTCTGTGTAAAGGCGGCTACCGCCGCCAGCCACGCATACACTGGACCTGGTGGGTTTATACATTGTAGTTATACATTTCACTGATTCTCTTCCAGCGATCTCCTATACCCCTTCCGGCGTAAGCTCATGGTATTATCAACTTATCAGCAGTCTCTTTGCTCACCTGGTTTCTAAAAAAGATTATTGGTACCTGCGGAGTGGCCATTCAGAATTCCGACTTTTCCGTGGCACTCGATAACACTCAGTTTGTGCATGGCAGATTCTGCGGACGCAAGGTCAAAGTGTTCTGTAAGCGCCCTCCGTTACATTCTGTACGCGAAGACGTTGAAGGCCGATGTTTTTTATAGATGGGGGAAAGAGCGCTATCGTCACTGTTGCCGACAAATGCCCTACTTGTGTTGGCGGCATAGGTCTCACCCCAGCTGCATTTGAGTACTTTGCGCCGCTCAAAAGTGGATGGTTCAAAGCCACTTGGGAATTCGTATGAGAGAGATATCAGGCTTATCTTCTTTCCCTCATAATTAACTCTCCGGCGCCATGTATGTCCGAAAGACATTATATTTTTGAAAGTTTCAGAAAGTTGCTGCAGGTAGATTTAGCCCCACGTTATGATAAATAAGCTGGTGCGTGTAACGAATACCTTTTGGAGACTGATTTGCACGAGCCAAAAACTGTGTCTTTGTTCTGGCGATGGGTGTCACGCTTCCTGAATGTAGAACTGTGAATCGTACGTGGACATGAGTGGTTCATTACAATGTATACTAAGGACCCTTACCCAATCTCAGGCTTCCGAAAGTTTTAACATCACTCGAGGCCTACCCTTGCCATCGATGATCGAGGTCGACGTTCGGCAGGGGAGGTGGAGCCGGGATTAGATTAGGGAATTTGAATGACATTGCCTTCCCTGAAAAAGCTTGGCTATGAATACATGCTTATCATGTTTTGAATGGGCTGATCACAGCCGTGTCAAAGCCGTGTGCATGTTTTTTTATATCTCGGAAATTTCACACTCTGCGCCGCCCTGCATAGGAACCTGGGTAATACCCTCGAATGCCGGTCACATTTTCCAAAATTTTGGCCCTTTTTGTCTGGACACCGGACAAGCCTGGGATGGGAGGGAAAGCCTTTGAATGCCTAGATTGGTCCTGTCAGTTTTGTCGGGACTATTGAAACGGCCTTCCCAGGCTGTGCAATCTGCAAAAAAAACAAAAAAGGCGCAACTAAATTTCTTTCGTGAACAGATGGCACCTCATTTGAAAGCGGGCTACGATCAGTGTAGACCCGGAAAAAAATGGCCAGTTGAATTTGGGCATGTTTTAGCAAACCAGTTTTCATCCTTGAACTTTGTCGATCAAAAGACCTTCGGTACCGAGAGAAATAGTGCAAAGGAGCCTCAACCACTACGCCATCGGTCACTTTGTTGGCCCATGGATATGGCACTGACAATCCGCTTTGCCTGTTGTCTGGACAAGTGGCATAGTAGGTATTTGGGGTTTTGGAAATGAACCGGCGTAGCGGCCAAATTTTCCCAAAATCTGTCTGGGTGAACGGACAGCCTCCAAGGGCATTATCCGGAGTCCTCCTTGCATCGGAAGAGTTTCAAAGGGTCAAATACAGAGCGAGCACAAATGGGAAGATGCCCGCCCTCAATTGACGGAGTGTTGGTGTTGGCCGGCCCCTAGTGTTTTATAGTTTTTGGAAGAAGTTGCCTTTTGCCCAATATTGTGGAACTGAAACGCGATTGTCATTAGGAAGAATGCGCATTCATTTATCACCGTAGGGAAATTCCGTAGCGGATAGGAATTGCAGATTCGATTAAGGAGCTGGTGCGGCTAGTAAAAAGTGCCAACATAGGTTATGACACCTAAGGTCCCCTCGAGTGTATTTTTGCCACAAACGTTGTATTATTCCACTTATCTGTTGTCAAATTCCGGAACGAAGAAGCATGTAATCCCACTGAGATAATATCATTGGGCCTAAGCGTTTAACGAGATGAATTCGAAATCGAGGTGAGTTCTCAGTTGAACCGGTAAAGCCTGCCGGAACTGTAAAAGTTAAATCGTTCGAGGGCCTTTAGGTCGGGGTTTAACCGGGGGCCGTCAAATCACTACATATCAGTCTTGTCACCGCCCGTTGAGCCGTAAATGATGAAGGACTCGATTTATTGCCAGAGCTGGCCCTATCATTTGACGTTCTACACCTATCCGAGTTTTAAAATTAAAGGTTTTTGAAGCTTGAAAAAGAATTTCGTTGCCACGTCAACCAGATCGAGAAACATTAATAGCAACTCACGAAAAGCCAAAGCGTTAATAAAGCAAGGGCGTCCCGTGCAGCAGAATTCAAGAGCAAAGTCAAGTATTCACGGATTCGACTGGTCGGAAACACTTCAAAGATTTCCTTAGGCTTAGGCGGGGTAATGGTCCATTATAATCGATGCTTTGCTGCGCTTGAAGCTAAGTATCAGAAACGTATAGATAGGTGATCTCGCTGATCGCCTTGTCATGCCCCCAGCCAAAGTGTTAGGGCTAGCCAGATTGAAGTCTTGTCCCGACCTTGACTGAGTAGTGGCAACGAACAGCTTTCCGCAATGTCATAGACGATGATTTTTGCTGTGAAGTCGAGTTGATCAATACTACCGAGAAGAGTTGAAGGCAACAGATAATCATTTGCGTCGTTCCGACGCCGCCGACTTGGACAATGTTCAGTTTAGTTGACGTAAAAATATGGGACCCCTTAATGAAACGACACCGTGGCTAGGCCGATACAGTTATGTCTTGATAATTTATTAGTAACGCTTTGTGCTAAGTGATACAACGTGGATACCTTATTCTTTCAAGATTCAAGTTGAAGCCGTCGTCACCTTCCCCTTCCCCTTCGATTTCCTCTTGTTGAAAATAGGGAAGAACCTCATTTTCCCAAATTTCCTCGAGCCCTTCGAAGGCTTTCTGGGGCCGCTTGTGCTGGTTCGGCGCCCTGACATAGACATCCTTGCCTCTGAGCGGTTCAGGGTAGCAATCGTTTGTTCGTGAGAAGAATGCGGCGCCGAGCTGGTTGAGTAACAAGACTCAGAGTCGGAGTACTCCTTGATGTGCAAATTGACATTAGTGGGGTGTTCCCCAAGCTGATGATCATGAGAGTCAATGGTGACACATGTCTGAGAGGATGCCGCGGTGTCTTCGACTGCAAGCGAGGACGAGATCAACTTGGAGAGAGGCAGAGGTGAAGTGGGCGACGAGGTACAGCCCGACAGGCGATCACTCGATGTATCCATAAGGGCTAAGCGGGCCTGCTATTAAAATGCCCTGGTGAACGTGATAATGGCCAGCAGAGTGAGATGGACATACCTGACACTGAATCACTGGACAGCGGGCCGCATAACGGTCACGTATATATGACTAGCGACAATAGGGGCAGGTTTCATCAGTCACCTTGTTCAACGTTCAATGCCTTGGCTTGAATCGGACTCTAATTGGCACCATGTGAGGCTAGTGGCCAGGTCCCAACGCTTCGATACATCCTCAACTTCGTTTCAATTGGAAAGTGTAGCCGAGGGGAAGAGAGCTTGAATCGCAATGGGTTCTAGGTGGTGATGGTGGTTTCCGAGAGTTGAAATCGGCAAGCATGATGGCGGTCTTTCAAAATTCGAATTCGTTCTTTTCATCAATGCTCATCATCCTGCCTGATTTTCAACGATCTGCCCGATTCTAATACTTAAAATACAACAATTACTCGCAAAACTAATGTAGGAAAAGGAAAGTCTAGAAATCTTCCGAGTAGATCGTACCGGCTGAGATCAAACGGTTTATCTCTCCTGCTGTCAGCGGCTCCCTCAACCCCTCGCCTTCCAACTTCTTCCACACAACTCGCACGCTAGCAAGCTCGCCCTCTTCGTCCAAACCTTCATTATAAATTTGTTCCAGGAAGGGGTACCCCTCGTCATCGAGAACCGAGAGCGCAGCCAATCCGTGGCCATGAGCCTCTCTGTCGCGCCAGTCGTCACCGTCGGCTGTGTCCTCGTCTTCTGGGTCTAATGGTGACCACTTGACGTTATCCATCACCCAGAGGCTCTCCGCGACGCCTTCGTCGCGCTCTAATGCCTTGAATGTCCCAATTTTCCGCCACCAGCGGAACCGCCCGCCCACTCCCCCCTTGAGCGCGATTAGTTCTAGCCACGTCTCTTCCTCGTCGAAATCCTGTGTGTTCTCCATTTCGGTGTGCGAGTCCCAAACTGCACAATACCACCCCATCAGAGACTCGGGCGCAAGGAGGCTGGTGCTTGGTCTCTAATATCATGACAACAATGAGGCTAAAAGTTGATACGAGAATAGGTCGGACGCACGGTACCACAGTCAGAGCTCTTATTGCGCAGATTCTTCCACTGGGATGTAGTATTGGATTGCGCCATGGTGCGAAGGTGAGAAGCCGGCACAACTCTAAAGAGTCGGCCTTTTAAGTACGGGACACACGCTTCCGGACCGACATCCATACCTCTCAAGCTTCAAAACTTTCACGGGCTTTCATAGTCAGGCACACTCCATCTGACCTGGGCATCCCATGAGGATAGGGTCAAAGCAACTGGTGAACGGCGCCTTTCGTTCACAGGGTTCGAGAGTCGAGCCTGTCGGCGCAGCTGCCAGAAGCATTTTTTATTCCCAAATACAGGTATCAACCAGTCGCGCCTATTCATTGGTACTTACCCTATCGCTTCATTTGACGCTCCTACCGGATGTCATTCCCGGAAGCTTCTTGCAGGTTCAATGCTACTAGGCTAGACACCGCTGGCGTCGGTAGGGGGATCCTTAGTTGTGGCCCCGTCAGCGTGCTCCGTTCACATCTTTTGTGTTTTTCTTCAAAGGCGTTCGCCTCCTCGTCCATACCCAGTCGCGCCTCCGATATAATCATTATGCCATCCTTCGCAAGCCGCCAATCCTAACAATAGTCTTCCCTCGTATGATCCGCACTTCTCTAGTCCTTGATTATACATCAATTCGGACGTCCATTGCCAATATCGTTGAACTTCCACGACCGGTCCGCGCCCGTGAGCTTCCCGGTCTCTGGACGGGTAACAATCTGGAACGTCGGACCTGGTTGCTCCGTTAATCCACCGCGTGTCCGTCGCTGAGTTGATTTGCTTGTGTTGCCATTCTTGTGCGGTCCGTTGGCTACTTACTTTCGTGTTTTCGCTCAAGTCGCTAGCCCTGGGGCGGAAATCCCTCAGTGCTTTTATGGATTGGCCGCCGCGTTTGGTTGGAGGAAGGCTGGAGCATTGGCCTACGTGATTCAGGATTTTTTCTTTTTGAAGGCTCTACAAGTCCTGAAGAGCGTAATATTCCGGACACGACTCACAGCTCTAAAACACCGGATTATTCTGTTACGCGAAAATTATGGGTGCTGCATGCCATCTTGGCGGAATGCTCTTCTTTGCCAATCAGATTTTTGAGCAACCATGCGGCAGGCGAATTGAGGAGAAAGAGGGAAACGTACAGCCGTTTCAAGTTCCTCTCCTCGGTCATCTTGTGATTTTGTTGGAAGGAAATTGATAGATCCCTGTGTTTCCGGTATATCAAATCATCGGCACGGAAGGAAACTTGATGAAGGGACTCGGGAGAGACTGGAGTCTGGGGGAGACTCAGAGCATGTGGGGCATTTTGAAATTAACGGTAGGGCGCCGCAGGTATGCCGCGTGCTTTCGAACTCTCCCTTTGTCACGTCGTTCATACATCCCATTATTTTTCATAGGCGGACGCTACGATTTTGTTTCGCTATCTCGCGGTGATATATCGACTCTGAACTTAAGTGCTATCAACACGTCTAAAAACAGCACATTGTTGTAAACTGATCCAACTATAATTTGGGATGTTGTGGAGTGCAGGTTCGAACTTCGCGGGCGTCCTAGACAAGCGCGCGTCAGCTTTTACGTGGATCCGTCAGCAGCGGCGCTCAGGCCTAACTGTTGGTCTCAGGTTCGACGAGCCTTGTGCAAAATTCCGCCTAACTTGCGCTTTAGTGTTGAAAAGTTGCCACGGCCCGCCAGGTCGCTCCGGAGCTTCTTGGCGAAGCGTTTTTTTATACGGTCCGGTAAATTATGTTTCATGATTTGCAGGTGTAATTTTCAGAGGTGATTTCGAGTTCCCCGAGAGCTGTCGGAGAGGACCCAGATGGAGTACCTAGGACGTCATGCAACATTTAATGAACGTCGGGAATGGTCACCTTTGATAAGAACTATTTACAGGCTCTCGGTCTTCAGGACTGTTCGGACGAAATTTGGTCTCAAGCCAATACCAGGTAAAAAGCCAGGTAAAAAGCACTGTTCGCAGAGACTCCGAGATCATAAGTTTATGAAGCACGAGTGGGAAACAAGTCGTAGATAATAAGATAATGTATGCAGCACGCGAAATTCCCGGCTAAAAACTCCTTCCAAGTCGAAATACAAGGGCAAAAATCGAATGTCGAATGATAACTTTGAATGTGGTGTATGTATGCCAATGGTGGGATGAGCAATTTCGATGACGTCTCTGAAGACTTTTGGACTCAAGGTAAGGAACAGAATGGGTCGAAAAAAAACGATGAGGGACGCACATGTACACGGTCGTAATGTCATATGCATATCATGAGTGATTCAAGCAACAACGCAATACGCGTTGTTCCCGCTGCCACCATCATCAGCGTTGGTTGGGATCTCCGTGGGGCCGGAAACGGCGGAGGCGACGACGGTAAAGAGGGAGGTGAAGGAATCCATGAGAGTAAATTAGGGTCTCGGAGGTGAATAACAGAGAGTCTGTTGAAGAATGTTTGGGACTTGCAGGAATCAAGTTGATTCTCTATCGTCAAAACGTCGTTTCTTTTGAACGACCTCATTGAATTCAACGCAAATTTCCGCAACACCCAGAACGAGTGACGCGGCGGATAATAAAACATTTGAATACCGATATCGATTTTATTTGAGGCTTATTGTGAAGGTGTGTTCCTGAACCGGGGATCAGTACAACGAACAATAAAAGTTGACCTTCAACGCCTACGAAATCTCACATGGTCGAAAACAACAAAAACCTCATGACGTCACGCGACGACACGCGAAAGTAATTTAGTTCAGAGGTCGCGTTGAATACTTCAAAGCTGGAAAATTCGTTTGAATAGAAAGCGGTGTTTCCTGTGGCGGCGACAATAGGAATGTAAAGCAAAAAATTGCTTTTTGTCTTTGGCTATGTCGGTGCAACAAGTTTCTGGTCATCAGGTCGAGCGTACGAATAGGCCAACAAAAACGCGGACCTGCAGAGGGGAATGTGGGAGAGGATGTACTTAGTTTTAGATGTGGCGGAGATGAAATTTCAAACACAGATAAATCATCGATCATCACGTGGTTACCGCTCCTCTTCAACTTTTTCAAGTTGCGACTCAAGCTCAAGTCCTTTCGCCTCCCACTGGCAGTCCTCACTACTATTGCCATCGTATTCCCTCTTTTTTGTCTGCATTTTCGGTCGATCTCAATGTTCCGGTAGTGGGCACCCACTGGGCGTAGTTCCGACATCGACCCTCTCCACTGGCTCCTCCTTATCATGGCTCATAATCAACTTCTAAGTAAGCGGCCTCTGAGATACGCCCAATACTTATTCTGCCACTTTGTCGTATTCCACTTCAACTTCCTCTTATTCAGCGCTTCTTATGGATTCACTAAGAATAAGGAATTCCTATAGCGATCCCGCATTTTGCCTATCAGTGGCACCAGGATGCTCAAATCCTCTTCGGAGTCTAGCTCAGGCTTCACCTTACCATTGCGGCATTAGCTCAAAAAACGTGCCTCTACTGTATTATGAAGCTTCCTGTCTCTCTGATGCCCATGGTCGCCGCGTTAACCATCGTTCATGCACTGTCCTCTCCGATTTGTCACCGATCCGGGATATAGAAGTTGGGTTGGTAGCTCACAGAGCTGAGAGATGGCTGAAGCTGGGATAAAACCCTGGAAAGATTGTGCAGATATAAATTTGTTTAAGATTTTTATAGAGCTTTGGCGTGATTTTTACAATTTCTTGCGACACTGGCTACCTCAAGACGACTCTGTGTGGATCCCGAGAAACTCGGAGGATTGTTGTTATGTATTTACTTCACGCCTGTTCAGTGTTGGACCCGCGTCACGTCGGTCACGACATCCTGCTCACCACCACGGACGACGTCAAGCGGCTACTGGCACGATGTCCTCGACATTCCCCCGCTCCTCCATTCTTGTCCTAACCCCCACCTCCATCCATTCCCTCGTGCCATCAACCATCATATCACAAGTCTCCTCCCTAATTGACACGCACCAGCTCGAAGACGCGCTCGCTCTCGCTGATCAGAGGAAGAGGAGGTTGGAGGGGAACTTGATCGTTAACGAGGATGATGTTCGTTCGTTCTCTCTCCCCATTCTATGGGGCTTTATTGTTATCAGAATAATTATTGACAACCATAAAACGCAAAAACAGGAAGACGAAATGCGCTACGTGTACCAACTCATTGGTATCCAATGTTTTGCGGAGACGAGGTTTGAAGATGCCGGCAAGGCGCTGTTCAATGGTGACTTCGATCCTCGAGTCATCATCTCGTATTTCCCGGACGTTGTTGGGCGTATGTTCGGGGACGAAGATGAGATGGACGTGTTTCGGGGTGTGAAGGAACGGATGCCTTCACAGGGGGGCGTTGGTGATTTGAGTAAGTCGCTTTCTTCTTCCCCCTTCACCATATCCAATCCTGTCTTTCGATTCACACCTTCCACCTTTACATTTTATATTGGATTACTACACCCTGCACACCTTCCCACCCCCTTCCCTCGCACCGATTAACTCTACTAATTCTAGTCACCAAAAACCTAGTCAGGAATTACTCCCCGCACCTCGCACCTTCTTCCCCGCCTACCGCGGAACTGTTCAAGATCCTCAAGCAAAACTCTTTGGACATGCTGGAGACGTTTTTGAGGAAATGGAGAACCAAGAGGGCCATTGAAAGGGAGGCGGGGGGGAGTTGGGGGGAGTTGTGTGATCCTGTGAGTGTCGGTTCTTATTCTTCCTTTATCATTTTTTATTTCTTGGACCGAGCTGATGGAGGAACGACCCTACTAGGTAGTAGACACGGTCCTTACGAAGCTCTACGCACGCTCTCCAGCTCGTCGCAAAGACCTCTACGCTCTCATCTCAGACCCTTCAAACTCTGTAGTCCTCTCAGAAGTCGAGCCAGAGCTTCGCAAGGCGGGGTTGTATAATGCCTTGTGTATGCTTTTTGGGATGAAAGGGGGAGAGGAGGGGAGGGGAAGGGTATTGGATCTTTTGAAGGGGTAGGTGGTTCTTTGCTTTTGCTTCCTCTGTTTTGGTTTTGTATTTGAAGGCAGCGTTAACGGTTGATTGTGATAGGTTGGTGGAAGGCACAATAAAAGATGATGACGTCCTTGACCCCCTGGAAAGACTCGTCTCGCTGGTTGTGGAGAAGAAGGATAGGGCGCTGACGCAGAAATGGGGGTTGTGGTTGGTTAGGCGGGATTTGGAACGGGGGCTGAAGGTGTCTTTCTTTTCGTCCCACTCCTACATCGCACCTGGGATAACATGGTACTTTTCCAAACAGCTCCTTATACCTCGCGAAACGGGCAAACGCCGCGAAAAACCCGAAGAGGATGTTGCATTGCTTGACCAGATTGAGGAAGCCAACCCTGCAGCGGGGGTTCAGTATCTTGAGTATTTGGTGCTTAGGCGGAGGAGTAACGTATGTCTTCTTCCTTCCCCCGCTCCCTTATTGCGAATGAGAAAAACTTATTTTTTATCAGTCAAGGGAGCTGCATACAAGGCTAGCAATAGCGTGTATAGACCAGGTACTTGGGTATTTGAGGGACGATGTCGGGGTGTTGAAGTTGTGGAGGGCGAAAGGTTTGCTTTCTCCCTACTTTCATTATTTCCAAGTGGCTGATGGAGCATTTTTTAATTCCGACAGCGGCATCGTTCGCTTCGTCTATACGGTCCTCCCCCTCCGTACCCTCAAGCTCAAGCTCAACTATCACTCCGAACACCCGAACCCCAACCTCACCCCCAAGTTCAACCTCCCTACCACGTACCCAATCTTTCCTCGCATACTACACCTCAACAACACCGGACTCTCCGCATAAACGCGCGCGGCTTAAAACGATTTTGGTGCTCTCCCTGTCGGAGCTTTATGATCCTGACGCTGTGAGACGAAGGTTGGATGAGGCTGGGGAGAAGGAGAGGGGGGTGTTGGTTTTTGAGAGGGCTTTGTTGGAGGGTAAGGTTGGTGGTTTTCAGTCCTTCCTTTTTCTCAACCACAAACCGACTTTCGCTTTTTCATTTTTCTTGCTCATGATTCAATCACCTCACCTCACTCACACACTCACACAGACACAAAATCACCGCGCAGCGCTCGAGTTACTCGTACACGAATTACAAGACCCAATATCGGCAGAGGCATACTGTACACTTGGAGGCGAGGTGGTGTCAGAACGGACGTTGAGGAGTGCGGCGGAGAGTGCGGGGCTTGTGGGTGTTGCGATGTTTGCTGCTGCTTTCTCAAGTGCGTCGCCGATACAGAGGGAAAGGAGTGGGCAGGGGGGCAAGCTGCAAAGCCAAACGGGGATGAGGAAGATACAAGCCCCGTCGGTGATTACAAGACAGAAGACGGTGGACGAGGGGTTGAAGAAGGAGCTTTTGAAGGTTCTTTTGGAGGTGTATATGGATGGAGATGAGTGAGTGTTCAACTTAGACTTGAGCGAAGGAAGGTGCTGACTCTGTTTCGTTTTGTTCCTTTCCCTTAGTCAGGTCAACTCGGAACGAGCAACGCACCTGCTCAACTCACAGGCTGTTAATCTTGATGTTGTGGATGTGCGTTCTTTCTCCCCGTAAAAGAGGAAAAGTTGATGTGTGGGGATGCAGGTCATCGAACTAGTCCCACCACTCTGGCCCGTCAACAGTATGGCCTCCTTCCTCGTGCGGTCGTTCCGGCGGACGCAACACACGTTGTTGGAGGGCAAAATTGTCAAAAATATAAGTGTGGGGCAGAACCTAGAGGTAACTTCTCCCTCTTTTCGTTATGGTCGGGTGCTGATGTGAACGGTGAAGGTGAAAGATAGATCATGGAAAATCCTACAAGACGAGGGCGCTGTTATTGAGGAAGCCGATCCGGAGGATGAGCTGGAGGACGGGGAGACAGAGGGGGAGAAAGGGGTATTGAGCGAGAAAATTGCAGAGGCGCGTGGGGTTGTGCATGCGCTGAGGTTGTCTGTGAATGGGAGTGGGGATGGCGAGGGGGAAAAGAGAAATTTACGGGGGTTGGTGGATGATGCTGGGGGTGGGGAGGTGGGCGGTGATGAACTTGTATGATAAGGTTGAGTCTGGGGGTGATCGTGTGCTGCGTACTACTTACTTACTGCTATGGTAATAGTTGGCTTAATCGATGGTGCTGGATGGATTCGAACTTGGAATTTCCTTGGAAATCTGAGAGATCAAATTGCCATCTATAGCTTGATCTGCAACCACCGCCATTTTTGTCAAATGACTTCAACAGCATAGTGGCGTTGGTTTCTTGGAGGGGTTAGCATTGACGTCGAACTTGAAGCTGATATGAAATCTCTGTCGTTCATGGTTCAATCGCTCGGATAAAACCCCATTCTTGATTCCATCACGAAACCCCATTCTTGATATCATCACTGCAGCAAAAACGTGTCGAAGTCCCCACCGCCAAACATACTTCCCGGGGACAATTGAGGTTGGTTAACTTGTCGGTTTGTTGGAATGCTCCAATCGAGTAATCCCAGCTGCTAGTATGTTTTCTATGGCGCTTATCTTCTACTTACAGACAGCTCGGACCCGAGTTCCCACATCCAGTCATTGGGAAATGAAAGACCCAAGACGCCTCATTCCTGTCCAATGTCATTGTCAGGCCCTTCCTTCCCACAGCGATCTATGGGAGAGGCACACAGCATCTCAGCGACGTGGGCCTATCGTTTGGACAGATCTCCACTGGCACCACGCTGCATCCCTCAAACTTTGCGTTTCCGCTAGAAGACGGGCACGAGGGGGATGATATTTGATTCAGAGCGCAACATCTCCAGTAAGTAATTCAACGAGTCGTGGCTGTAAAATTTTTGGACAAGATGAAATTCGATTCTCGAACGTTCCTCGGCGCTGGCATGCGCTAATTCCATGGGTGTCTCCCACGACGAAAATGAGAATATGTTTCGTCCTCAGGCCTCAGGTATTTGATTGAGATAATATACATATGCATAGACCACCCCGACACAATCGCAGAATTTAGAATTTTCAGCCATCGTCCACGCCCTGGTTCTTCCCTTGGTGCCTGACTTATTGGAGATTCTTCGAGAGGGTGACGTTGATTTTTCTTATGACATCGCCTATCGAAGGAAAGGTCAAGGACACGACTCATCTTGATCGCAAAGGGTCAACCGTGACAGCGTTGCGTCGTTCCCTCCCTGCAGCAACAAGGTGGGAAGCCGCTGTCGCGCTCAGGTCTGCAAAATTAGGCTTTAGTCTGGTTAAGGAATGAAACTGTCACTGTCAACAGCAACGAGTTCACGACCTGGCCTCCCCGTTATCTGCCGTACTGTTGTTGATCCGTCTGACATGATGACTGGGTCTGACCTGAGCGCTAGTCCCAAAATTCCCAATGCGCACTGGCAGTGCCGATCTCACTTGTCACTGGTAATCGGTGGGAACTTGCCGTGGGCTGGTGGGTTCGACTTTGCAATGTGATTCTGGCCGAGTTGTTGCTGGGATGTTGTTTTGCGCTTGGGGCCGCCTTGAGCACGCATGCATCATGGGTATAAAGAGTATCCATCCTTGAATTGGGAACAGAAAATTCGGAGCGTGGTAGGGCGTGGTTTTATGGCGCAACGTAAATGGCTTATGTGTTTTTTGAGCCCCCCCGAGTTGGTGCTAGGTAAAATTCTGTATTTTTTTGAATGTGCCTAAGTTATTTGTCAAGCGTACGCTTCGCGCTTGTGCCAGCCTGGCTTTCCAAAGTGGCTGCTTGGGCCACCTTGAACAATTAGAGACCCATCCATGCTTGAATTCATTTACTGGCGAAATCTCTCCTGGTATTCACGTCGCTTTCATATCAGCAGAAGGCGATACAAGTTTCCTGTTTTTATTATCCACGAATTACAGTACAAGGAATTGAATAGACAAACGGAGAAGAAACGGTCGCTAGACGACTTTACCCTGCGCAACCAAATCCTTCAGTGTCTCCTCCCATCGATAATTCCACGGAAGCTCGCCAGCATCAAACATCTCGTCGATCCCAAAAGGTGTCATGTGAGCCAACGGGCTCCCTTTCACCAAAATGAGCGACAGAGCATATCCTAAGCCCCCTTTCGCGCGTAGCGCCTTTGAGCGTTCGACCAAGGAAGTGAAGCCTGGCCCCCATTCAGGCTTCATTGACGTCAGCTCGTCCATGGAAGATGGGTAGACGTCGTCGACGAGAAAGCTATTTGGTATCGATTTCACCCAGTTTGGAAATGAGGTATTGGGGACTAGGACGATGACGAGGACGTGGGTGAAGCAGAGATCTGGGTTTGTTTGGAGAGTGAGAGCGTGGATGACGGAGGAGGAGATAATGGGGCGGTAAGACTACATAAGCATAAGGTGGTCGGGTCGGCAAGTATTGAGGCTCAGAGGCAAAAATAAAAGTTACCTGGACCCATTTCTTCAGCGCGCTCTCCGTATCACGCAAAGTGGCACCCTCGACTGTATTGTCGGATTGTTCTTTGATTATTGCTAGAGCTGCACGATTCTGTTTGCACATCGCTTTGTGATTCGGCCAATCTTTGTTCTGGCATTCTTTGCTCTGCTCGTGAAGGAGTTTTCTGTTATAAGATCAAGTACATGAGAGGGATCGCCTGAGACTCACACAATAATGGGCACGGCTACATCCGCCGCATGTCAATAAAGCCTTTTGACTGTCCGATTTCGTCTCATGACAATTCTGGCACTGTTTGAACTCTTTTGCGTGTTTCGCTAGTGGAATTGAAGGCATTCTCTTCACAGTCTGTTCGGATGCCAACTCCACTCCAATGGGATTCCGATTAGTAAGCATCCAACCACGGTCACCTGTCTGACCAAAAATGTCACGACGCAACACAACCAAATAGCACTCACGAAAATCGGTTGCGCAAAACGATATGCAAAACACTGCAAGTGTTCCAATTTTTTTTCTAATAGTGGCGGGCTTTTAGCTATTCCCAAAAAAAAAAAAAACTTTTACTACATGTAATTTTTGTCAGTATTGATTGATATATTAAAGTGTCTTGAATGATAGTAATTCATCATTGGCTGGTGGATGTCTGTAGTTTGATCTGCAAAAAAGGGTTAGTGATCTCCAATGAATATTAGAATATTTTATGCAGACAACATGTTGAAAAAGTGATGAATTTCAGTATATATTGCATGATTTTTCCAATTGAAGGATATATTCGCACTATTTACATCGGTATACATACTCTCAAAATTTTTTAGCTCTTGTTGTGAAGAGTTATAGAGTGATCTAATATCTGTGCATAGGACCGGGCGCTAAACATTACGTAAGTTCGACGATGCCAATTGCGCACGTGCCATTTAGATGAGCGTGATTCCCAACGGCAACGACCTCCCCAGCGCAGGGGTAATGAAGCACCAAACCCTCAACTGGGACGCACTCCGAGAACGTAGTCTTCAACCAGGCGGGTTTGGCGAGGATCGGGTTCGATTATGGTCTGTTCTAATCCTCTCGATGCATGCATGAACTAACAAGGTGCAATGCAGGCCGCAGCTCTTGAACGTAACCCCTTCCAGTAAACATAAAACCGAGGCAGACGAGGCGGACACCCCACACCCGGACGAGCGGCAGATAGAGCTGGACACGGACAGGAGTTTCGTTCTCTATCCAGTAGGTGAACCAACAGCAACTCCCCGACCAGTTTTCCATGACCTTACGAAACTCAACTTGTTTGAAATAAGGCGAGACGCACGATAAAGATGCCCTCCAGTCGTCATTGCATGCCCTTCTCGTTGCTCTCTTCAGGAAGAGACCAAAATTGAGCTATTTCCAGGTGCTTATCACCGTTTGCTTCTTTTCTTTACGGTTATTAACCAGGAGGACAGGGATACCACGACATAGTAACAGTACTCTATTTAACTCTTCCTCCGGACCTGCAACTCCCATGCGTCGAGAAATTAAGTCTTCACCGCGTCCGAGACTCAATGGGCGCAGGCCTCGAGCCTGTCCTTGGTCTCTTACGGTACGCCTTCGATCCCCCACCTTTACCTTCCTTTTCTCTTCCTTTCTACTCCCTTTCCCACTTACTTACAAATCCTCTTCAGAGTAACACAAAATCTCCTCCAGCTTGCTGACCCAACCTATGCCCAAACCCTCTCCCAGACCTCCCCACTCCCTTTCTTCGCCCTCTCCAATCTCCTCACCCTCTTCGCGCACGACGTTCCCACCCTCGCGCTCATTCAACATATCTTCGATTATCTGCTTTGTAGGCCACCGGTGTGGGTCGTTTATCTGGTTGTTGCTGTATGTCTTCTTTGGCTTTCGGTTGCTTTGGTGGATCATTGACATCAGTTTTGCCAGATTATATTAGCAAGGAAAGAGGAAGTAATGCGATTAGAAGAGGAAGGCGAGGAAGGGATGATACATTCCCTTCTAAGCAGTTTACCCGCACTCATAGACGGGGATGACAACGATGAAGATGAAGAACTCGAAAATCAAGATGAGAGACGGAACGATGATTTCGTACTGCCCACTCGCAGGCCCTCCAGAGAAGAGGGTGATGCAAGATTATCTGAAAAAACGAAAGAAGAATGGTCACCAGATGGCAAAACCAATGGGATCAGCACACCTAAAAATAGGTATGAGTTGAGAAGGTTCGGTGGGAGTGATGATGGAGTGCAGGATGGTGAAACGGAAGCCTCTAATGACGAAATCAAAGAGGAGGAAATTACCGAGGACCAGAGTGACACCGCTGGCCGGCCGCTTGCGTCTTCTTCTCCTTCGACATCCCCGGCTTTGTCTCCCTCAAAGACGGAGACTCTACTTTCAACACCGACTCTATCTCCCTCTCGAACCCCAGCTCTGTCTTTCTCCACGTCTCCAACCCTCTCCTCATCCTCTCCGCCACCCTCCACTCCAGGCCTAACCCTCGACCTTCTAGATGAAGATCCCTCAGCGTCGGATGGGAAGGCGGACGACGGGCAACCTTCATGTACTGAGGAAGCAGCAGCCTTTGATGCGAAGACTGTCCAATTGACAAAACCCGCTTCGGAGTCTGGGGAAGCGCCGCCTTTGTTTTCAGGGAATGGGGAAACGAAGAGATCCGCGTCGGAGTCTGGGGAGGCCTCCCTTTCTACTTCAGGGATCACGCAAGCGACGATTTATACGACAGGGACCGCTCAACCGACCAGTTTCTCTTCAAAACCTGGGGAAGCGACGGTTCCCACTTCAGGGACTGAGGAAGCGATGATTTCCATATCAGGAATTGGGACCGTTTCGGAGTCTGAGGAAACGACAATATCCGTTTTGAGTGGGCAAGCGATGGCTTACGTTTCAGGGGTTGGGCAAACGACGCACATTACTTCAGGGATTGAAGAAACCCACAATACAGAAAATGACGCGGAGAATACGGCTTACTCACGACGAAAACAACTCGAAACAGAAATACCGACAAGACCAATATACCATCCTTCCGAATCCGAAAATTCCTCGTTCTCCCCCTTTTCCTCGAACCTAAAGCCCTCTGCCTCTTCTTCAAAACTTGACGCAGCTATATCGTCCGGCCTCCACGTAGAATTATCCCCCACAATACCACCCAAAAAACGCCACGCATTCAAACCGAAGCTCTCCCTTCCCCTTCTACTCTCACAAGCTGACGCCCTCGCAGCCCGTTTCCCACCCTCCGACGCCGGGCTCCGCCTCTCCTCAATAATGGGCCCTCAAAGCGTAGTGTACACGTTTTCTGTGTCTCCTAGCGCGCTTCCGAGCGACGACGAGGCGGAAGCGATGGTTAGGAACCCAGGGTTGGTCGTTTATCCGCAGATGCCTTTTGGTGCCAAGGAGGAGGAGGAGAGTGCGGAGAGTGAGGGGGACTGGGAGAAAGGGGGAAGAAAGGGAGAGAAGGGCAAGAGTAGAGAGAAGGGAAGGGGGAGGCGGCAGAAGATGAAAGAGAGAATAGGCGAGAAAAAGCGACGGCCTGCACGCAGGCCACAAACGAGTACGGTGGTGGCTGGTGCGGTCGTGGTGCTTGGTGTTGGTATGGCTGTCTATGGGATGCGGAGGGGAGGTGGTGGTGGGGCAGTGGAAGAGGGGTGGAGGGGGGCGGCGGAGTGGCTTGTTGGTAGGTTAATTTAGTGCTTAGGGAAGGGGAGGCGGGTGGTTGGGGTAGTTTGAGGATGGTTTGAAGGAACTTCGTCTTTGTATGATTGTCTATGTTCTAGTACGACGTTGTACATTTATTCTCTATTGTAGGTTTTTCTAGTTGAAGTCCTCATGTGCGCCGGCGCCGAATTTATGTTCAAGTTCTATTCTATCCTCTACTCCCTTTTCGCACCACCAACAACATCTTCAACACTCATCTCTCCACTAACCACACTCCCAACCACCGGCAACGCGTCTCCGAAATCAGAGAACAGAACATGTCTGATTCCTTCACGTTGGCAATAGGCCGCTAAATCGTTCTCCCCGTCCGCTTTTGTCTTGACGAAGAGGACGTCGGCGTATTTCGCTGCCGAGATGTCTGTAGATCATCATCACAAGGATCAACGCAAGTATGTTGGATCAGTGCGAGAATTTTATTTCAGCGACAGGACCTGGATGCGCACCTGAAACACCATCGCCAAAGAAGAAGAGTGTCGGTGGATTCGGGAGACCTCGATATGGTAGTATGGCTTGAGATTTATCGTGCCCGAATCCGCTGGGGAGACTTGTTAGCACAAACGTTCGTTTGTCGTTGTCAACAGCAATGATGATGTGAAATGGTATTGAAGGAGTTTTTCCATGGGAAAACACCTCCCAACACTCAAGCCCTGCAGGAGGACTTCTTTGCCCGGCGGGTAGTACTTCCATACACACCCAGCGAATAACAGGTGATAATGAATTTAAACGTGATGAGGCCAGGACAACTGACCGACCACATTTGGACGCTAGAGACATACCTGGAAGGGTGCCTGTATTGGATATTCCACTTCCCCGACGGGTGAATGACGACGTCGTTCGCGATGATCTCAATTTCCTCGGCGGCTTCTTGCCCGATGAGGTTGGCGAGTACCGCACGTATCAGGGGTGCCATTCCGCTGTTTATATTGTTCGTAGGTGTCGTCGGGGTTATCAGTCGTAGTCGTGGTCGGAATAATCGCAAAAAAAAAAGAGAAAAAAATAGATAGATTGATGAGAGATGAACGGATGCAGGAAATGGCGCGTTACCTTGAGACAATGATGACAGGGATGTCGTGCGCTTTGCACCATTCATAGAATTGGCGGAATCCTGGGTCCAATTTGATATCTGCCAGGGATGAATGAGGTTCAAATTGGCCGGGACAAATTGATATTGTTGGGGGTACTTTTCTTCAATAGCTCCTTGCATTCCTCGAATGTATGTCCATTCGCTGAAACGCTCTCCAGCATCTCCCGAAATGAATCTCTGCATAACGACGGCTCGGTAGTCAATAGACCGGAAAAACACAAGACGCTATCTCGAACCCACCTGAAAGTCGACCTTCCGGCCAACACGTCGAGATTCCCACCTCTCCTCTTCTCCTTTCCGAAGCCTAGATTGTCCGTCATCCCTATTGTCAAATAGAAGAGACAATCAGCCCCGGATCCCTTGGACTCCCTCATGGCCAGAGAACTCACAATCATTGGAATCGTAGTTGGTGATGGTCCCATCCCTGTGTGTATGAAAATGTCAGAATCAGGAGAAGTCGGGTGCGTTGTTGAAGGGGAGAAACATCGGGTCGGGTGAGGGAGACGAATGGGGTATGAAGAGCAGGAAGGAGGAGGCGACGAACCAGTCTGAAAGTACGACAAACTTTTTGTCCGTGTGGATGGGAGGATAAGGCAGCGTGCTTTCTGGTACTTCTTGATCTGCCGGCATGGCTGTAAGCTGCAAAGTTTTGTGCTCGTGATCGATCACCCGCCAAGTTGTCAAGTCATGCTGTATTTCTGGGTCTATAAATTACTACTACGTGCTAGAATAATGATAGGATGGGATGCGCATCTATGGGAGTGAGAGTGGGAACTAGAAAGAACTATAGAAACAATGTCTAAGGAAGGAAGGAAGCGATACTGAACTATGGAAACAATGCAATGAATAGATACAAGTTGATAGTATGTTGAGCAAAGATAGGGAAGAAAAAGGTTGGGTGGCATATGGCATAATCACCAATCAAGCACCGGAGGGAAGAATTTCGAAATTAGGCGTTCATAATAGGGTCGCAGTTTGACAGGATCACAGGGCTCGTCGGATTTGCTGTACAGGTCGTACGGGTTGAATGCTTGGACAGCCGCGAGGATCCGGGCATCTTTATCGTTCGTGAGATGCGAGTAGGCGCCCTCCCTATGCCACGGGTAGAAGCTATGATATCGTATCATCGCTAGTGCCTCCGCCGGCAGCGAGCTTTGATCTTTGAAGACGTTGTACAGATACTGATTGACGTTGATAAGCAAAAGGTATCAAGGGTAAGCCAGCAAGAGGCCTCGCTGTGCGGCGTACCTCATCGTGGCCCCACGATAGCATCACGTTGTCTAGCCCGCAATGAGGCTTATAGATACCATATTCGGTGGAGTACACTGCGTCGTACGTGTCGGGGTTGTTTTTGAACGTTTCCGGATAGATGATCTTGTCTGAGAACTTGCAGCCCACAACTGATGACGCAAGATGGGGCCATTAGAAAGGGTGCCTTGAAGGGTAGCTTGTAGGGAAGTATCTTACCAAAGGTATCCTTCAGGGAAGGGTTAGCTAGGGTTCAACGAAGTGAGATAAGGGCTAAACTTACGCCGACGACATCCCATTGACCTTCAGAACCAAACAGCAGGAGTAATTTTCCTAGGTCGTGCACGAGGCCTGTCACCTGAAATGACAATGACAATCAGGTAGTGGAGATTAGATATTAGATAAAGACGGACCTGCATCCACTCGGGTTTGCCGTCTCTTCGTATGGCTTCTGCGGTCTGCAGCAGGTGCTCAATTTGGGACATACTCGTCTGGAAGGGAAGGTCAAGTTTTGGTGTGGCTTCCGACGGGATCGAACTCACGTCCGGGTCTGACTCGTCAATCAGAGTATTAAGCATTTCCATTGCCTCCCAGACACCCATACGGGCGCGTTTCTTGCTCTTGAATTCCACGCGAGCTTTGATGTTGAAAGCTAATGTTTGCTTCTCTACAATTAAAATAAAAGAGACGTCAGTCGGTGACTAGCGGACATCGAACGAGAGAGTGATTCACCATGTTGTTCTTTATAAAAGTCTTTGACGCGATCACAAGCAGCTTCGTAGTCGCGGAACTGAGACTTGTCCTTGGCCTCGTCAAATTCGGACGTGTCGTTCCATAGCTTCCCCTTGATGACGTTGACTAGGCGGTGATAGCGTTAGCGTTCAGACAAGAGTTGTGTGATGACAACATACCTTCGTCAATAGCATCAGAGGTGATGTCGAGGTCGCGTCCACTAGTCATGGCAACTGCAGAAGGCATGGCGTATTGACGTTGGAATATTGGAGATGAAAGTCGAGAGAGGGCCTCAAGATATAGAGAAGCGCGTCGAGCTTAGAAATGGGGGAGGTGATGAGGGAATACGACACAAAAGCAAGCCCAGTTTTAAGGAATCTGGGAGGGGAGCCATCTACGATAGACGGAGCTGTGGCCCAATCGGCGATTTCAACGCATCAACACGAAAGTTATGAACCAACTTGGAACCAACCAAGAATGACAACAGGGTTCCAACAAAGTTTTGCGCTGTTCTCCATTGGCTGATTTCTTCGACGGTATTTGGAATTGCATCACGAAGAGAAACTGTACCCGATCTGGACGTAACGGCCTCTTTCCACCCGCCACGTGTCGATCGCCCGCCCTCGCTAGCTCTCTCCCGCGTGCTAATCTTTTTGGTTGCTTTCCCCCTGCAACGAGTTCTAAGGGTCACAACGGGCCTACGACATTTGGAGACGGAGAGCGCCGGGTGGTCGTTTGGCAGCCCATAAGCGAGATTACGATCGGGTGTCAAATCACACTTTAATTGAATGCTTGTACGGGTCATCTTGTCGAGATACATATCTAACAAAGGAGGGAACCGCGCACAATCCAGGTGCATCACGGGCCTCTGGAATTTGCCTTTCGTGCTTGATACTCCGGGCGGTTTCGAGTGGCTACAGGTACGAAGGGAGACCGCGGCGCTGGTTGTCGGGCGTTTGAGGAAATACTTCTCGCGCATAGCAAGTAGGCTGGCAGATATGTCAATCTCCCAATTTTCGACCCTCATGTGGTAATAACAAGCCCTGGAGCCTGGACCCGTTATACGAGGGATCGGCACCATGTGTTGACAACTGCCATCCATTTGCTCACAGCAGGGTTAGCCTAAAGTGGATCGAGGCCTCGAATTCCCTAGCACCCTCGAATTGATGACCACGAAACAGGAATGTTGCTCTCTTTTTCTGCGGTTACTCCTATCAACGCTGAAAAATCATAGAGAGCAGAGCGAACAAACGATAAATTACTTCCCAATATTTTGGCGCTTTTGGCGCTCATGATCCTCGTGTCAATGGCTTTGGCTGTTTGTTGGCTGTCGTATTCATAGCTACCGTATTCAGTCCGAAGCGAGGTTGCGATCCCGTTCCATCACCACCTGAATTGGCTCCTTGTTTGCCACCGAAAAGACTCCGAGAGAGATATCTATGTTTCGGCCAGATCCTTGCATAGCAGGGCCAAGACGCATGCCGAGCCCGAGTTGCAAGCATCAAAATGAAAGGATATTTATGTAACACCATGGGAAGCTCTGCTGAGTCTGCGCGAGTCATTTGAACACATTTGAAAAGGGGACAACGCACTACGACCGCACTCACCAACCTCCTTTCTAGGCTATCTACTTACGCCCCAACTTTTCCCAAGCTCATAAATTAAACCAGTGTCGAAGCGTCGTCTAGTGACTTGGTGCTTTTCAGCCTTTTACGAGGCTGGTCTACCCTTAGGACTCGGATCTAAAACAGCTTCGTGTCTGTCGGCTCCGTTTGTGCTTACTTCAATGTTCTCAGAGTTTAGATGCGCAGTCTGGACTGAGGCGTTGGAAATTGAATCAGCAGTGGGGTCGATGGTTGTCTTTGTATGACAGTTGTAGTGTGCAAATAACTTCATCCCGACCAGCCCGCGGCGCAGTGAGTATGGAATCCTTTCAATGATGTCAATACAAAAAATCTAGGGCACATCATGATGCCAGCTGGGTATAGTTATTTCATCGGCAGTTTAGCTAACAGGCGCCCGGTCGATTGCCTCCGATAACTCAGCGACTTATCGTGAGGGTTTCGTACTAGAAGAAGGTTGAATGGACCGCGTTATCGCTCACGGCAACTTGGGCCAGTTCTCAAAGCCCAAATCGACAGCTATCACATTAGTAAATACGCGTAAACTTTCAAGATTAAATGGGGAGACTTACGCCAGGGAGGTGTAATGAACCTATGACGGACATCAAAGACAGTATTAGCACTTGCAGGCAAACAAGATAGAACAACATGACAAGCGGACCTTTTCTGTTTGCCGCCAGCAGCCAAACCATCTAGGGTCTTGATATCGGATGCATCCAGTTTCTCCAATGCCGCAATAGTGCCGGTGTAGTTGGAAGCGACTCGCGCGGGCGTAACCGACTTGGGAAGCACGACTATACCCTTGGCGACTGGGTTGTAAAGGGATGTTAGAATATTCCCCCTAGCCTGATATTATACAACATACGGAGATAGCCTAGAAGGACGTCCGCGGGTTGGAGTGCGTGCCTCGTTGCAACCTGGACGACTGATTCGTCGGTGAGCAGCGGGGAGTTCGTTGATCCTAGAGGTGAGTACGCCTGCGGGACAATGCCTTTCGACTTCAAGTACGAGATGAGTTTATGTTGCGGGTTATACACATGAAGTTCTAACTGAATATCCACACACGTTTGTGTCAGAAAAGTAATAAATGGTAGAATCAATATATTCACCTGGTTGACAGCCGGAATAATTTCGGCAGTAGGGAGGATTTCTTCCAACTTGACCTCAGAGAAATTGGATACACCAATCGACCTCACTTTGCCTGAGCATTGCCGGGTCAATGATAGGTTTGACATGTTCCGAGCGATGACAAACAAACCTTTCTTTAGAACTGCTTCCATTTGCTTCCACGTGTCTTTGAGATCCCATTCACCAGCTACGTCGCGCTTCCCATCTGGAAGGGTGGGGAACACGGGATGATTTCCTTTGGGATTAAGCGGGACCGGCCAGTGGATGAGATACACTGTGGAGAGGTGGGTCAGCACTTCTGATACTTCGCCTCCCGGTCACTGATGGGGAACAGGTCTTACAATCAAGATAATCAGTCCCAAGGTTTGCCAAAGTCTCGTCAAGGCACTCTTCAACACGAGTATGATATGTCCCCCAGAGCTTGCTGGTGATCTGTGGTCATAGAGGGGGATATGTCAGCCACAACGTCGAAAGAAGATATGTGTCCTGAACCAAAGACTCACAAAGATGTCGGACCTGGGGACGCCAGATGCACGGATACCCTCACCCACCTCCTTCTCATTCCCGTATGCCCTACAGGGTCGAAAAAACGTCAGAGAAAGGGGATGTATTCGGAAGATTCCTCTCTCACCAAGCGCAGTCGATATGCCTGTATCCTACTTCTTTGATCGCGTATTCAACTGCAGATGCCACTTCGCCAGTCTTCGACTGCCATGTACCTTTGGATGATAATCATGATAAGGGATCCATCAAACAAGTTTATTGAACTAGGCGACTGACCCAGTCCAATGGCAGGAATCTCGAGGCCGTTGTTGAGTTTGATCTTGGGCGCTGACATCTTGTGGAATTTCTATTTTTCAGTGGAGGGGTGGGAGGACAAGAAGCGATGGGCCGCATTTTGTACTTAGAACTGCATTGGTAATGCATGGAGAAGCGGACCGTTCGGTCCGATGGCGACTTTGAAGCGTCGATGGGCGGAAATTTGTTCACCCGTCCGCCCCTCTGGGCAGGCTGCAGAACACTGGCTCATTAGCACATCAGAGTCGAGGATGGCGCGAGGCGCGCGTCCCTTTCAATATCAATATCATCGCATGTTGGTGTTTAGGGGTGGAGACGACTTGCTGGTTCAGAAGTCCGGACAGATGAGCGCCGAGGGGTCTCCAAAAGCAATGGGCTTCCATCGTTGATAGTGCAACTTTGAATGTACTCTTTCAGCACATGAAAATCAAGAATTTAGGAGACTGTGGTTGGAGCTTCTCCAATTGCTTGTACGCCTGCCCCTGCAAATAATGACCAGAAATGACACTGATGACGACGAAAGGCTCCAATTGTCTGAGCCAATTGAAGAAGATATTAGATAAGGCCATTTCAGATCAGAGTTCATAGTCTGGGTGCCGTTAAAGTGCAAGCAGGAAGGCCAGATGGAGGCTGTTGACGAGTCTTGAGTCAGATGTGGATGCCACATGTACAAATGACGAAAAACATTCCCAAGAAACTAACTTGCGATTTGCTTATTTCTCAACATCTTACCATAACAGGACCGCGCACAGGAAGGCACAGGAGTGAAACGAAGCGTCAGGGATCTCTTGACAGAAACCTGACAGACACCCTGCAGATCGTTCCTACAGTTACTTAGTTAGAGTGTGCTTCTTTATGCTTTCGTGACGCTCCATCATCATCATTGTATGTGCCAGCGGCCTCCCTGCAAGGCTTTCACCAGATCGCCCAAAGCGACCCATTAAATATTACCTCGGTTCTCGCGCTAGGTTTTCGATGAGGAAGCCGGCATTACCTCATTGTGAACCTGCTCCGGAAGAAAGATTATAACGTGCAGGCATACATATTCATGCAACGAAACTAAATTCGTCGTCACCACACTCCTCAAAGAATTTGCTGAAGAGATCGGAAAATATCAAAAAACTCGGTTATTGTATAGTTGGTGTGAGTCTTGTGGTCTTGTTCCGGCAGACTGGCTTGCTTCATCTCAAATGTTTCCGTGACACGCTACATGGTCAGACGAAGTCGAGCGGCTCTCTCTCGCAAGTGCTGCTGGGCTCGGATGCAACACAATTCGTGGTTTCCAACAATTGAAGGTTGAAACGATATAAGTCAGAAAGGTGAAAAGATCACAAGGCGAAGTCAAGTGGAGTTTTTCACAGCTAGCTGTTCATCCACGGCAAAAAGTTGGTACTTGAAAGAGCGTCAAATTGGTAAAAACCTGGCATGAAGCCACTTGCCTGCTAGGCTGATTTCCGAGTCGGCGTCGCCTTGCAAAATGATGTGACGGAGTCAGCGTCTCTCCCAGTCAGTCTCCGACGGAGCGTTGCAATTGGCGCAGCGGTAGTGAGTACTGGGCGAGTAGAGAAATACAAGAAGTCTGTTGTTGGGGATTCGGTGGGCATAAAAGTGCAAAGGCTGCCACGACGTTGCAACTGCCTTGATCACGTATCAAGTGCAATGAACCCACACACACTCTCAGTGTTTGCAAGACCAGACCCACTGCTCTAACCTGCAACTTGGGCTTTCCCTCCCACAGTGAATTTGACATCTTGTCTGTCATTGAAATCGTCCAGCTCGTGTTACCAAAGTTCCTGGAAAATATGTAGAATTCGGTAGTTGAGCAACTAGTTCGCACCCTCCAAAAAGTCAAGAACAACTTTAAAATATCTGAATGAACGAAACATCAGACTGAGCAATCCACTTATCCATCACTTGTCTGGTTCTTCTAAATGGGCAAGGTGTGTGCTGTTTTAGAATTTGACCAATTTGATTTTGGGAATCTTCAGAAAGAAGGGAAGGATGGCAGGTTCTTGGATCTCATTGAGTGGTGCACTAAGAAGCAGAGTGGGACAGGAGATGTTGTGTAAAATATCAATAATTGTCCAACCCTTCAGAGTCCCAGTGACTACAAACTCAGAAGGACCCTGCCTATTTGAATGTAAAAATCATCAAGAAGGTCAGTTCGCAGGACACTAACATCGTCTGGTAGACTGTTGGTTTGCTTTCCATAGCCTTCATGCTGTTAACTAGGACTTCACGTATGGGGTCCATGTTGCAAAGATGTTTTCAATAAAACTTCTTCATCCAAATCTGGTATTCCCATTTGATTCCTGTTCATGAGTCGTCCTGTCTGCCTCATGCTTATGCATCATCTGCACAACTTCCGTGGGGAATTTCTCAAGCAAAGTGTTCATGCCAGCTTCACAAAGATCCATTGAGGCAGGGGAATTCACAATAATCAGGCATTTTAAGCCCTTTGGGGTTTGCAATGCTGCATACTGTGCTCCTAGCATTCCTACGCATGTCTCCTGGTTAAAAGTCGATTGAAAAATATAGTATGCATCCTTTACCTCCCCATGATTGACCCAAAAGATCAAAATCATCATAAATGCCGAGATGTTTTAGTAAATTATTGAGTTCATCCATGAAAAGATCAGGGGACCAAAAGTCTTTCGGTGCATCCAGCTGATGCGTTGAACTACCGCCTCCAATCTGATCATAGAAAACGATTGGGATCCTGAAGCATCATGGTATTGATTATTCTCCGCTACATCATAGATTGTATGCTCACCTCACCTTTTCATGAAGCAGTGTATTTGGCCTGCATGTTCTGGATCAATGAACCAAACTGATTGGATGCAGTGAGTGGTGTACAGAAGGTAATCATGGCTCATACCAGGCCCCCCGTGGATGATGACGAGTGGCTGGCGAGCCTCAGTCTTGAGATCTCCAATGAATGAAGCTGAAGTCTAATGATGAGACTTGATCAATATAAATAAATAGCTACTAGGACTAACTTTGGCATAGGGGTTAGAACACCATGACTAGCCAGATCCCAGCATCCAAGAATATCTTCATGTGTGTAACCAGTGCATCAGATGCACTATCACCCAAGAACACACACATGGATGGCTAGTTATCGGGCCACCCATGCACTTCCATTTCTGAGTCGAAAAACGTCAACTTGAAAAGACCAAGGTGGAAATATCAGGGTGACAGGGCTGGCGGTATGTCCGAGTTAATAGGTATCCAAAAAGATTCCAGATAGGAGGTCTGACCTGCAATGGGTGGGTGAGTAACCTCCAATCCTACGACTGCATGAAAGGACATCCTCTTTACCTTTCCTCCTCAGCTCTTTGTAGCCATCACCTTGTGATGGGGTAAAGCATCATTTGATTGTTATAAAATGAAAGTCAGTATTTATACTGTCAAACATGTTGCCCTTCTTTCCAGAATTATCGGCAGTCTTCAAAAAAATTTCAATCCAGTATCACATTCAGCTCTCAAGAGCGCCAATCTTTTCAAACACTACATGACCCTCGATTATTGAGTTGACAAAGTCACCTGCACTGTTTCTGCGAGGTGTTTGTGTCGTTGTGCTGAGTGGTTGAGTGGGCATTGTATGACTACCTAATGAGTGCCCAAGCACATGATGAGATGAGACAAGGGCCAAAGATCACATATAGGATGGCATAGTGTGATCCTTCAAAGACAGAAGTGAAATGCCATCTTTGACATTGAGATTCATGATATGGAGTTGAGGATGCATGCAGCCATGCTTACTAATGCTGGACTTATATCTGTTTGTAATTGCCTTTCGTACTTTAGACATTAACCATTATCATCTTGCTACCAAGCTCATGTAATAAGTGTGATCCATGGAGACTCAGGATGTCTTTTAAACAATGCCTGAAGTATAGCATGATAGAAAATAAATTTACACTGGGTATAACTTGAAAAGTCCCCAACAAAAGTACATTTTGCATAGAGCAATCATCCTGGACCAATCCTTGACATTTTTCTTGGTGGATTGGGGTTGAAAATATTTCACAAGGCACTTATCATGCCTAGTAACACTATCCCAAAAAAATAAACAGAGGTCCTATTTATACAAGGATCTGAGACCCCACAGCTTTCTTGCTCTTTGCAAAATGTACTTTTATTGGGGACTTTTCAAGTTATACCCAGTGTAAATTTATTTGCTATCATGCTATACTTCAGGCATTGTTTAAAAGACATCCTGAGTCTCCATGGATCAATTCAAAAGGATGGTAGCATTTTTTCTTCTTGCAGAAAAGAAGGACCAATGTTGTAGATATTTGTTTACTTCCAGAAAAACTCTGGGAATTAGCTTCTACAGACATCATGCAATGTTCATTTTAACATTTCTACCTACCTTTTGTATTATACACACTACAAACAACAATAGGGAGTCATTTTGCCTCATTCCAACAAATATATTGAGTGAAAAATACATAAAATGGAGAATAAGTTCAAATTTACCTTTTAGAGGAGGATATAAAAATTTATAGCCCAGAGACTTTATGAAACTCATAACAATAGCAGGGAGATCCAGTGTTCAAAATATCTCTTCCTCAAGTTGTGAATTGCTTTCAGTAGGTTGCAGTCATTCAGAATTTCCTATTTTGTCAAATCCCATTTTTGGAAGTTGTCACAGTGAATGCTCTGCCTTATCTTGAGTTCTCATTCATTCATCCCCAGATTTGGTATGTACAATCTACACCTCCTTAGCTATGTCTCATACACCAGAGCTTAGTTCTGAAAATGTTTGGTTCTTGTGTTACAGCACCAACTTTGTCCAAAAAATGACCAGACATTCTTTTTTCCCAGTTAGTGTATATCCTTTCTGTTTTTGCCATATCTCAGTCAAATCTTCACAGAATTGCTTAAATTTTTAATCAGTCTACAGAGAATTAAAATATCTATCTATATATGCCATGTACATAAGATGATATTTATTTTCTGTGGTACAATAATTTTTTTAACAAAAGACCGGTCATAACTGGTCTGGACTGGTTTTTTTTGTGTTGTGGACCAATCAGGACCAGTCTAAAAGGGTCTGGTTGTGGTCCCACCAACAACCTTCAGTCAGTCTACCCCTCTCCCAACTGAATCATTCTGACTACACTATGCCACTTGATCACATTACAGATGAAGGATCTCGCTTAACCAGTTTACCCAGCTGGTCAGGAAAATTTACAATCCATTTGTGTATATAAGAGACGGATGACTGCTCCGTCTCTTCCAGCTACACTACCATGGCTACCCCTTCCAAACCCACTGTCTATATCATTGACTCTTCTGAGAAACTGAAGACTATTGGTCATTCAACTAGAGTGGCCTCCAAAAACAACCCACCTGCGGAAGAGAGTGCTAAAGGTGCCAGCACCTCAGCAGTTCCTCCTGCGAAGGGAAAAGCAACTGCAGAAGAGAGCGCTAAAGGTGCCAGCACCTCAGCAGTTCCTCCTGTGAAGGGAAAAGCAACCACCATGTCACCAACTGCGGAAGAGAGCACTAAGGGTGTTAACACCCCAGCTGTTCCTCCTGCGAAGGGAAAAGCGACAGCCACGTTGCAATCCAAACCTGCCAAACCTGGGGCATCTTTACAGAAAGCCCCTGCCCCACTACCCCTCCCTCCATTTGGTTCCAGCATGCTACAAGGCAGCATTGAGCCAATTGTGATCAATCCTCCTGGTCTGAACCTAACTATGTTACAGGAGACCAGGCAAATTATCTTGGAAGCCCCTTCCCTCACTTACTTGACAACCATATCGAGTATCTCCTCATTAGGCAATAGGAGTTCTGGCAGATCTGTGATACCCCAGCACATCTTTGAAGGGATTCTGACATATGAGAAAGTCATGATCTATGACGAGTCTCTTTTGGCTTCCCTAGCTCATTACCACCCCTGTTTCAACCCTGCGGTTGATGATGACCCTCTAGTCTTTTTCAGAGGCATCAATGGGAAGCTACCTGGGAAATCCATAGCAGATTCTCAAGGGATCCATGACCTCTTATGGCATTGGTCTGCACCCCATACTCAAGCTTTATGGGTTGATCTTCTGACTGCTGTAGACAAGCTTCCCCAAGTGCACCTAACACCAGAATACATCAGCAAATACTTGGTGGATTCTGTGAAGTACTATTTGGTACCTCCTATGTTCCTTGAGGATGTGGCTCAGCTTTATCTAGCCATGTACCAAATTCTTGGAGCCTTCCAGACATTCCTGGAAGAAGGTGATCGTCAACCTTTTGCTTTCGATCCAGAATGGAAAATGCTTTGAATGTTGGCCTGGCACGACAACCCAAAAGATATTTTAATTGCCTTTGTAGTTCTACAGCACTGTTGCGAGGTTTGCAATTCCCACATCAAAGAGTACTTCAATGCTATGAGGAAGATCTTCCTCCAGACCGACGAGCAAGAGTCCATCAGCACCATGTACTCGACTTGTCCTTCCATTCACTCTCAATTCGGACAGGAAACAGCTCACAAGGAAGTAGGAAAGCTTCTTCTATGCCCAGACTATGACTACATCCCTGTCGCTTACCAAGACGGAGTCAGTCATTTAACGGAAGCTGCAGTAGCTGCCGCTAACAGGATGCACCAGAAAGTACTGACTGTCTTCTATAAAACCACTTGGGCTTGGGTTTACCAAACTGCTCCTACTGGAGCTGTTATTGCCGCATGTTCTGCTAGTAATGCTAGCTACAAAGTTAGAGCACTAGATCAAGTGTTTGCTAAATTACCCTGATCAGCAGATCTTCACACTAACACCCAGTCCAATCGAGTGTTCTCTCAATACACATCCTCCGCCATTCCTACTCCTCAATATGCACCTTCAGCAGTCCCCACTACCACCACTCAGAGCATCAAAGTGTCTATGCCTGCCTCTATATCCGACATTGCCCATTGTCATCATGCCATCTCCACTATGCCTGGCATGGGTCGAATAGAACTACCAGTGAATGATGCTCCTGCTACAGCACCTGTGGTCGACATGGGCATTGAGCAGCAAACTCTGCCTGTTGTAAAACCCACACAGACTGTCCTATTTGCTAGTAGATAGATGCCTCCTCACTTATTTGACAGAGCACCAGAACACCTGCCAGCTCCGGCAAGCAGCGTGCCTTCACATTGGACAAGCTACCAGTTCAAGGACAATTGCCTCATACCCTCTCCCAGTGATGAAGATCTTAGATCTCCAGGCAACCCTCCCCCAGGAGGTAACCCTCCAGACAACGATTCAGGGGGCAATGGCCCTGGCAGCGGTGGAGGTGGTCCTAATGGTGGTCCCCCTGGTGGCCCACCCAGTGACCCTCCTGGTGGTCCTCCTGGTGGAGGTGGAAATCCCCCTCCAGGCTGGGTTAGTCAACTGTATTCATCCTTTCCTTACTTGGATGAGTGACAGCTGAACCATAAGCTCAACTCTTCCATAGTGCCAGCTTGGGATGGACATGGCTCCACCTGCCATTGAGTACATCAGCTCTATGTCCTTCCTGGCCAGGATGAGCAATAAAATGAAGGAAGGTGTAGCTGCCATGGCTCCCTACAAGTGGTCCGGTTGCACAAAAAGCTGGTGGGAATGTCTGCCATTGGCTAATCAAACATATTTCCGTCAAGACTGGGAACACATGATGATTGGTTTATGCATTCAGTTCCTTGATCTGCGTTGGTCTTGTGAACGGCTGTATGAGTTTGAAGCCATGTTCTTTCATCAAAAGGGACACATGACTGAGGACCCTATAGATTTCATACAACATAGGGTCTCACCACATGTTCCTTCATCCTGATGACCTGGATGGTCCTGGCACAGTGGATCATATTATGCAATCAGCCCATTGAGTGGGAAAAGGAACTCAAAGACATGACCTGCCCATCCATCTTTGCGTTGCAGAGTGCTGCGAGTCAACTGGCTACAAGCCTAATCAATGATTGGCAAAGTAGCCACATACACACTCATAACACTGCCATCAGCCCAGGAGACAAGACAACAGTCCCTGGCAAGGAATGCTATGGAAGAACAGCACACATCACCTCTAGTGTTTAAAGGTTCAGTTCAGTCCGGTTTTTTGCCCCAAAAACGCGCAACCGTGGACCGCAACCGGTCCAGGACCGACCCAGATATTGAGGGAACCGAACCGAACCACCTAGGACCGGTCTTTTGCGGTCCATGATACCGGTTCAGACCGATCCAGACCGGTTTTTTTGCGTATAATTTATTATACCAATATAAACCATTTGTATCTCAACCATTATTACTCTGAAAAATAAACGGGTTATATAAAATAGTAAAGCATATAAATACCCGTCATTCTACCAATTTTCAAGAGATTTAATGAAGATTTGACATAGCTATGACTGAAACCGAATTACATCTCATAGAGACTCAGGTAAAGTATGGATTTGGTTATATCTTTCTTAATTCTTAACCGTTTTTGATGAAACAAAAACCCAATAAAAGACAATAAATGTGGTTACAAGGGTATGTAACGCACGTGACCGTTTAACCAGTTGCAACCGATTAAAACCAGTCTTTGAACGGTTTTAAAAGATTTTTGAAATGAGGCAACCGGCAACTGGACCAACCCCAAATTGGGGCAACTGCAACCGAAAAAAAGACCGGACCATGGTCCGGTTCAGTTCGGTCCACCGGTTTTTTGCGGTCCTATGGACTGAACCTTTAAACACTAATCACCTCGTCAGACCCTCCTGCTGATCCTCCAGTGTTAATTCAGCATGACGGCAGTGACTCAAGCACTGATGAGAGCGCTGAGGTTTACACAGCAACATTCCATAAACACAATGAGAAGAGTGGCACTGCCTGTTCCTCAAAGTGGCCAAGAGGCAGGGTCACGAATGGCATCTCCTTTCCAAGAGATGATAGCATCAAAAGTGCCAAACCTCCCACCAACGGCTCCTGCTTCATGTGCGATAGTCCTTACTATTACGCCTGAGACTGCAATCACTATGGGAAGTGGGACAGTCTCCATAATGCCAAATTGATAGATGTAGACTTAGATCATGAGCTGGAAGCGGCGCACAACAGAGAGTACATAGCTATGCTTGCTGAAATCCAGTGATACATGATGCACGGGGATGACCGTGAAAGTGTGAAACACGCAAACAAGGATCAAGTGTGTCAGGGAAAACCCTAACACCTAACACTCACACACACTATCACAATCTTGGTGCAAGAGTTCGAGGGCCTTTGGTATTAAGAAATACCACTTTTGTCTTCTTAGGTTTAGTCTCAAGAGTTTTCATTGTAAAACAGGGTTTTATTATTGGGTGTGGTATTAGAATAGTTCAATAGAACAAAGTATGTCTTTCAGGGAACCTGGTTGCTCAAATGTAAAGTTCTTGAACACAGTTTTCTTTATTGACATGAAACACAAATTTATCGGACTTTTATAACTCCCTTGAGCTTTTTATTATGTCACTATGCTCCTAACTGGTGGTACAAGTATGCTGTCTCATCTGAATGATACTGTGCTTAAAACCTCTTATTCAAGTCTCCAAGTAAGTTGACTCCCAAGCACGCTGGCTTTGTTCACACTGTACTTTTCCGACCATGCTTTAATTGATTACAACTGTCCACCTCCTAAGTTCCTACTTGGAGTGCAGCTAGCTGGCCAATGGGAGGTCTTTACCATCCCCCACATAATCCATGTGGATTCCAGTGGAGTCCAGTGGAGTCCAGTGGATTCCAGTGGCCCAGTTGCTAGGCCAGATTGGCTTGCACCATGCCCAGTCCACTGGACTCAAGTCCAGTCCAGTCCAGTCCAGTCCACTGGACTCTCACTGGACTACAAGCCACTTTCCTGAGTCCAGTCCCAGTCCACTGGACTCTGAGTCCAATCATAGTCCACTGGATTCCACTGGAGTCCAGTGGACTCCAGTGATTCCAGTGCATTATGACTTATTACTTATTATTATTAATTATGAATACTACAAAAAAAGCGGAATAGACTATGCAATGAACAAGCCAGACTTGTATTCCTATCAATCAAATACAATTATGAATGGAAGGCTAATGATTTACATATAAGTATGGGTACGTGATAGCTGCAATAAGGATTCATGATTTTGTTCAGTCTGTGGGGTGATGTCACATGACTTACTTGAGGGCATGTCATATCGTCACATCTCCTGTTTGTGGCATGGTCACACTACTGTGACCTTCCCTTTCCCTTCCACCACCACCCTCTCACCACCACCGACACTCACGACGACAACCACTCTTGACACCCCTCACTGCCACGTCACATCAACGACACGTGAAGCCAACGACACCCACGCCAACGACATCCACGTCGTCAACGATGCCAACACAGAACGAGGGACAGTGCCCATGACGTGGCAATGTCATGGGCCAATGGTACGTGTGCCCCACCACCCATCCCTCCATTCTCACCACAACAGGCATCAATGACCCCACGACAATGGCACCACGACCCCATGACAACGGCACCACGGAACAGCAAGCCATGTCAGGGCAAAAGACAAGCGCCCACCACTGTCCGTCAACAAACCGCGACGAGCGCCCACCCCCACCAGAGACGAACCATGATGAGCGCCCACCCCCTACAATGACAACGACGTGTCCACGTCAACGACCATCACACATTGACGATGACGACACGCCCACATCAACGACCACCACACATCCATGCCCACTGCCACGTCACACGAAAAAGGATGACTGCCGACGAAAAAATAACAAGCGCCCATGAAAAACGACCTTTGCCCCATGAAAAATGACCACCGCCCACTGCCACGTCACCAAAGCGGCCCACAACGTGCAACGACAACGACATGTGCAGAGGGGGCAACACATGAAGAGCAGGCAACGACGATGGGACAACAACGAACGAGGTCCCAGTGTTGCCACACACGAACGGCGACGAGGGCCCAGCAACACCACCCCTCCCCTCCACTCCCTCCCCCCTTCCCCTTCCTTCACTCCCTCCCTCTTCACCACTCCCTCCCCCTTCACCACTCTCACCCCCTCCCTTCCTCCTTCCCCCCTTCTTTCCCTTCCTGATCACCACTCCCTCCCCCCTTTACTCCCTCTCCCTCCCTCCCCCCCTCCCTTTCACTCCCCCCTTCCTTTCCCTCACTCCCTCCCCCTCTCTGTAATATAGAATGTATTAAATTTAATTTATGTAGTTATTAAATATACTTAAATTTTCTTTTTTCTCTGAAATCTAAGTCTAGCTTAAGGTCTGTGGCAGTCCAGTCCAGTCCAGTCCAGTCCAGTTAAGTGTTCAGTCCAGTCCAGTCCAGTCCAGTTTTGTGTTGGGAGAGTCCAGTGGAGTCCAGTTTTGTGATTGGCAGTCCAGTCCAGTCCAGTCCAGTCCAGTGGAAGCCAGTGGAAGCCAGTGGAATCCAGTGGAGTCCATGTGGATTATGTGGGGGATGGTAAAGTATTGGTTGTTGAGTGACATATATTCTGTTCAAAGTTGCATTAGCAGACTTGTTTGTGACCTCAAGAATATGTTGTTGATCTTTGGGAACTTGCTGGATAAGTCTGTGTTGACATGTTGAAATCTTGCATAGTGTAGTGAAACCTTTCATGTTTAACCATTCTGCACTCCTGTGAAAACTTACTTGACCACTGTAGCACTCATTGGTAGGTGCTTCCAGAGCATCAGTGGTAACTCCTCTGGTAGGCTTGATTTCAATCTGCACAGTGGTTGCTGGCCATAAATTGGTGCTACAGGCATCACTTTCAAAGGTGTAGTGTTACATAGCCATTTAAACAGTTGAGCTTTGGAATTTTCTTTTAAAGTGTGGAGGTCTTGAACCTGTCCTGTTTCTATTGAGTGTGATAATATTTAAAGTGTGGTTAATTGCATTCAACCACACTGAAACAGTAGAAAATAACTGTTACAGTGAATACATTTATACAAAGTTCTCTAGCAATTTTGAGTCTTTGTTGTTGAGACGTCTATTGTTGTGGTTATGACCTCCAGCTGGACTAATTAACTGGGTATAGGTCTAGCAGTCTATTGTCAGAGCCCCTTTCAAAACAGACAAAAAAGATTTTTCATTCACTCAGGATGCAGGCCACATTAACTTGAGCCAACTACTGTAAAGAAATTGTCAAGAAATTTCAAATAGTTTTATGGTAACAATGTCTGAGAAATTGTAAAAATATTGTGATATTTCTTTAGATAATACTTATGTTTGTCAAAGAAAAGTCACAATAATTTTACAATTTCTTTACAGTAAGTTAGTCAAAGGTAATATGGCTTGCATCTAGTAAATAACAGCATATCAAGACATGAGCACAACATAGAATATCAGTGAAACAGAAACAAATCACTAGAAGGTGAATTAAGTACTGCTTCTTGTAAAGTCATCATCAAAATCTTTCCCTTTATGAAACAAATGTGACATTGTGGATTTAAATTTTGAAACTCTCTTTGCAAGTTTGGAAAAGGAATGGACTGAGGATAAAGACATCAGAGGGGGTTCAAATAGCAATTACCAAAGAACATACCTTTTTTCTCAGAATTCATTGTTGTATCTGGAAGAACTGCTTCAACTGGATGATTGAAAGCAACATGTGTTGAATGCAAGTTTTGTTCACCATGACCTGTGGTGCCTGCATTAAGAACTTGAATCTCCTGTGCTTCCTGGACATTGGGTGTGGTGGTAATTGTATGAGATTCTGCTGCAGGAACTCTGTCCTTTAATGTGTGGGCTTGAGTCTCCAGCTTCTCTGCCTGTGTGTATTTTCTCAAGTTTTCATATGTTGCTGCTAGATTTGCCATGGAATTGATTGTGTCTGGGTGTTCAACTCCAAGGTTTCTGTTTCTTGAATCCAGAACTTGCATCTGCTAGCTTCTCTGCCTCTGTGTATTTTCCCAATGAATAATATGTTGATGCTAGATGTGCCCTTGCTCTGATTGTATCTGGGTGTTCCACTCCAAGAATTCTGTTTGTTGCATCCAGAACTTGCATTTGCAGCTTCTCTGCCTCTGTGTATTTTCCCAAATTCGATATGTTGCTGCTAGATTTGCCATTGCTCTAATCGTTTCTGGGTGGTCAACTCCAAGAATTCTGTTGCTTGCATCCAGAACTTGCATTTCCAGCTTCTCTGCCTCTGTGTATTTTCCCAAGTATAATATGTTGCTGCTAGATTTGCCATTGCTCTGATCGTGTCTGGGTGGTCAACTCCAAGAATTCTGTTGCTTGCATCCAGAACTTGCATCTCTAGCTTCTCTGCCTCTGTGTATTTTCCCAAATAATAATATGTTGCTGCTAAATTTGCCATGGCATCTGATTGTATCTGGGTGTTCCACTCCAAGAATTCTGTTTCTTGCATCCAGAACTTGCAGCTCCAGCTTCTCTGCCTCTGTGTATTTTTCCAGACATTTGATATGTTTCTGCTAGATTTGCCATGGCACTGATTGTATCTGGGTGTTTAACTCCAAGAATTCTGTTTGTTGCATCTAGAACTTGCAGCTCCAGCTTCTCTGCCTTTGTGTATTTTCCCAAATTTCGATATGTTGCTGCTAGATTTGCCATAGAATTGATTGTGTCTGGGTGGTCAACTCCAAGAATTCTGTTGCTTGCATCCAGAACTTGCATCTCTAGCTTCTCTGCCTCTGTGTATTTTCCCAAGTTTCCATATGTTGCTGCTAGATTTGCTATTGCTCTAATCGTTTCTGGGTGGTCAACTCCAAGAATTCTGTTGCTTGCATCCAGAACTTGCATCTCCATCTTCTCTGCCTCTGTGTATCTTCTCAGGTAATAATGTGTTGCTGCTAAATTTGCCATTGCTCTGATTGTATCTGGGTGGTCAACTCCAAGAAGTCTGTTTCTTGCATCCAGAACTTGCATCTCCAGCTTCTCTGCCTCTGTGTATTTTTCCAGACAAGATATGTTTCTGCTAGATATTGCCATGGCACTGATTGTATCTGGGTGTTCCACTCCAAGAATTCTGTTGCTTGCATCCAGGACTTGCATCTCCATCTTCTCTGCCTCTGTGTATCTTCCCAGACAGTTATATGTTCCTGCTAGATTTGCCATGGCCTTGATTGTATCTCTGTGTTCCACTCCAAGAACTTTGTTTCTTGCATCCAGAACTTGCATCTCCAGCTCTTCTGCCTCTTTGTATTTTCCCAGCATGGTATATGTTTCTGCTAGGTGGGCCATAGCTCTGATTGTGTCTGGGTGTTTGACTCCAAGAATTCTGTTCCTTGCATCTAGAACCTGGATTTCCAGCTTCTCTGCATTTGTGTATTTTCCCAGGTCTCGATTTGTTGATGCAATATTTTCCATAGCTCTGATGATATCTGGGTGTTCTACTGCAAGAATGTCATTCCTTGTATTCAAAACTTTAATCTGCAAGATTTTGGCTTCCTTGGTGTATCCTTGGTTTCGCAAGAGATTTCCAAAGTTGGCATAAGCATCATCCAAGTAACTGATACCATTTTGATTACTTTCTGATCTCGAATACTGCATATTTGCCCTTACATGTGTTACCAAGACTCTGTGAAACTTATATGGTTGGTTTTCATCCCACCTCAGTGAGCAAGATAAAGTGACACATGCCATCAAGCAACATCTTTCCCTGTCATTCAAAGACATTCTGTCTCTTCCCCAGGCATGAACCAGTGGATGCATTGAGTACACACCATTAGATGGTCCTTTCTTGATCAAGGAAAAGAACAGCAACATCCGAATGCCCTCTCCAAAAAGTAATTTATCCCAAGTACCTGCCTTGTTCAAAGGAAGTAGTCTCCGATCCAGCATAGAACTGGCAAGTGGCAATTCAGGGTGAGAGGCTGCTTCATCTTCTTGGAGAGCAGCATAAGAAAATATTTCCTCAGTAATTCCCTCATGATGGAAGTAAGGAAATATCTCCAGAAGGAGCATTGCACTATTGGCTGCATTGGCCTTATGAGAATCATCAGATTTAGCCCTTTGTTGAATTTCTTTGTATGATAGCTCCCAAGTTTCATAGACAGTTCTGTTATACTTAGAAGCTCCAGTAAATTCAGAATGGGTTAATAATGTTGTTCGATGCTCATAATATTCTGAAAGATAGTTTTTGATAGTAGTGGCTCCAGAAGCAATGTAAGCACCAGCCTGATCAATAGCAAGAGGGAGGAATGAGAGCTCCTTCACAATCTTAGAAGCTTCAGTTTGAAACTCCATTGAACATAGATCCAAGTAACTGGCTTTCAGAAGTAACTCAATAGAATCATTCTTTTCCATCTCAGTTACCTCAAGAGAATTCCCAGGTGAAGTTAGATTTCTCATGTTGGAGTTGCGACTAGTTATTAGAATATTTCCCCCTCTTCCAGGTGGAAGATAAGCCTCCAGCTCAGCAGGTGATAGAACATCAGCATTGTCAAAGACCACCACATAATTCTCTTTCAGCAAGCCAATCCAGTGAAGAGCAGATTCAGGTGAGCCATCCAGTCCACTAGACTGGGCTGCAGGAAGATTACAGATACCCTTGAGTGCCTGTGTGATGGTGCCAACTGAAGAAGCATCAATCCAGAAAACAGAAGAGAAACTGAAGGCAGTTTAAATTTCAGAAGTAAGGGTTAGATCTGCCATGATACTCACCAGTCAGACATTCCCTCAATGAACTTCAAGCAAATCTGAGTCTTTCCAATACCCCCCATTCCATACAACAGAAAGAACTTTCGTCCCTGAGACGAGTCATTTGCATTGGAAAAATGCCTCTCGAGTATGGCGATGACTTGTTTGCGGCCGGTGAACCGATTGCTCGGATTTGGCATAAGGGGGATGACCCCATCGGACATCGTCCTATTGCCATAATTGATGTGCATCTGCCCGAGATTCACACTATCAGTTTAGTTCACCAGAACATTCACATCATAACCATCCTACTCACAGAGTTGTCAATGAACGTGTTGTCGCGAGCAACAAAGTGGTGAGCACCCGCAAGAACGCCCGCTCCGCTCATGTTGAGATACTGAAGGTGGATAGGTTCAGGATGAGGGAAGGAAGGCGCTCAGGACGTTGCAGACCCCCAATCATACCACGAGGTGAACACGTGTTTTGGTCTATTTTTATGTACCTTACGCACGTTCCTGGGCTTCTCCAACTCCTCTTCTTCGTTTTGCCCTTCCAGTGTGACCCTATTTCGAGGTAAGTGAGTTCACCTTCGTTTGAACATCTGTGTTCATACCTGTAATCCCTTTTCCAGGACGCAGGTGCTGCGCGGTAGCTCAGCGCGTCGTGTTCAAGTGCCAATATATCTCCTTCTTAAAGTCCTTGTACTGGCCGTCAAGTTGGTTAGAACGTCAAGTGGGTTCCTATTTTAAACCAGTGGTAGCGATCGACTGTTTACACAGTTGGCTCTATAGTGTATTCCCTGCACACCCAAGTTTTCCTACCTCCTCCCCAAATGGACCGTCAATGAAAAACTAACGCTCTTCCGCAATCCTATGTGCCCCAACCACTTTCAGCAGCGGCAACAAGCCTCCTACCTCCCCATCTCAACTTCCTCTCTACCTATTCTTGCTGCAGAACCCCCACTACTTTGTTGACCCTTTCGCGGTCTTTCTGGGTTATGTCAATCATTGGGAAAGCCATTCAGATGCCACGTATGCCTCCTCGTTTCAGCGCGCTGTAAAAGCGATGGAGCGGGGATCTTGTCTCGTCATTGTTCAATGCCCATGAGCGGATATCGTGGACAAGGTTCAGACGAGTCCTCCTGAGCGCTAAACGTTCATGTTACACGAACCGCTCACACGATTTCTCTTCGATGTTGCCTCTCCCGAAAGCCAGGGTTACGGTCAATATCTTCCTTGTGGTGGGGAAGATTCGATTATTCGCTCACATCGGCGCCTGGAAAAGAAGGAGAATGAAGTGCGCTGAGGGGCGGAGAGTTGAATTCGACCCACTGAACTGGCTCCCCGTTGTCAACACCGCTTCAGCGATCGTGGGGACGAAGGGCAAATTGTGGCCATCGAAAGGGGAAAGGACGAGAGACGCAACGGCTGGCCGAGTTCGATACGATACGATACGGCGTCCCGAATGGATGGGGGGCCCCTCGATGGCTTTCAGGAACGCGATTGAGGGGGAGAGGAGTGCGCAGAGGTTGGTTGAGCTGGTGGGGTGGGGGTAGCGCGGGCGCAGGCGGAACGATAGAAGACTTACCGTGGAGGAACCTCAAGTGCGCGAGGTCGGAGTCGGTGGGAGATGTTGACGGCCACAAAACGTCCTCATCTGGCGCCTCAAACCGCTCGGCATGCATCCATCACAAACCTCTTTTACTTTCATCCTACACGTTGTATCAAGAATCCCCGTCTTGACGACCAAAAATTCAAGCATCACTAGCTCATCCAACCACGCCACGACCCCCATCCCAAATCCTAAACTGCCCAACCTCCTCACCCACCCAAGGAACCTCGTCATTCCAATGGGTAATCACACCTGCTGCTGTCCCTCGAACACCACCGCCCTCAGTCAAGCATCTCCACTCCACACGGCACTAATCATACCGCTCCATACTTCGTCGAGAGGACCAAGGGAGGCTGAGATACTAACGCACGCATGAGGAGGACGATAGGCTGTTCGCCCGGTGAGAGGGATGTGAAACGACGTGCTGTCTCCAAAGTTCCTAGCGTGGATCAAGCTCGTGGGCTAGGGAGGAGAGGACCTCCCAGCACCGAGTGATTTGCCACTTTTGCACTTCCCTCCTCCTCCTCTTCTCCTTCTCCTCCCCACCCCAGTCGGTTCATTCCCCATCTCAACCTCGAATGCGGGCTCATCGTCCCCCATACGTATCTCACCCACTCTCTCAGTCCCGGAACAAAACCCCCTCCAAAGCCTGTAACGACCGCCTCCCAAACCGTCATGCCTGGATGACGACGCGGGACATCGTCGAATAATTACGAGACAATGCCGATTAGTGTGGTGGCGTAGTTTTCGCGGGTTGTGTTATAGAAGAAGAGGGAGATGATGACGTTGAAGGAGATAGAAAGGGCAGTGCCTGCGTATACGATTGTGGATGGTCGCCTGTCAAGAGGGAGAGGGGTGTCTATTTTTCCTGAGCCTGTAATGGAGGGGATTAGTTAGGGCAGACGTGAAGACAGAAAGCAGGGAGTTGAATAAGAGTGTATGCGCGAAAAGACGCCTATACTGGGCTAATGGAAGAGTAGAAGGGAAAGTCAAGTCGACGAAGAAGTTGAATTGAAAGCCGCAGAGGGAGTTGCGGCCAAGTCGCAGGCTGAGAGTGAGGGATGGATGGGGAATTCAGAGTTGAGCAAAGGAAATGCGTCAGGACTTGGAGACTGCTCGAAGGAAGCCAGGGAGCGAGCTCCTGTTCTTGAGCAGGATAAGGAGGCATTGGTGGCCAAGCTACGTTCTTTAAAGCAATGCTATGATCTTCGCAGGAGAAGGCGGATGAGCTACAAGCTCTCAAGCGCAGAAGGACTTGAAGCTTGAGGCCTTGAGGGACGAGGTGGAAGCTCAGAAACCAGCTCTGGAGGGGGAGAAAGTTGGTCTAACGACAGAGACTCTACAGGAACTCTAGGTTGAAATCGATACTAGGTACGAGGAGTTGGAGGCGAAGTCTGCGAGAGTGAGTGACCTCGAGATGGGAGTCTGCAGATATGATATGAAGGAACAATCGCACAAGTAAGAGGCTTGTAGAGGCGCGGAATGATGAGACAGTGGAGACAGCAGCTGAGCTGACTGACCAGAACGACAAAATCGAATGTTGAAGCACTTGCGCTCAGCTCCAATCGCACCTGGACCGTGGACGAGCTGTAGAGGAGTCGTCGAGTAGACGATGGGCAGAGTTCCTCCTACGCTGTAGACTCCACCACCCGAAACACACGAGCTCATCACACACGACGCGGTCCGCATCGTCACTTTGCTCAGTCCACGGTCGAGGGACACAACTTGAAAACAGCGGCTCTCCGATGAAGGGGTATCTAGGAGATGAAATATAAACGGACGGTGTCTCTATCCAGTATGTATGCCGAGTCCAATGTCAACTTCGAGATACATAATATGGTAATTGCTTGTACTACGAGCAGGGACTGGGGAAGTCGTGTGCGTGCGTAAGACAATTGAACAGTGCGCGCTTGATCGAGCCCAGATACTCGTTCTGAGGCTCATACTACAAAGATTCATGTCCCGTTGTGTTTCCTGATATTGGGCGGACCGGAATCCCATATTCAAGAACTCTCTGTCCCCTTCCTGGATTCCACCCTGACCCGAATCACTCAGTCCAGTCCTTCGACTCTGATCTGTTCAGTCCAGGTAGGACAATGAGCTCGAAGCCATAGATCGATCATTCCAAAATACTGACCAGCATGCTACCTACTTCCACTCTACACGGAACCAGTCATCATCTCCGATATCCTCGTTGCAATGCTCTATCTATGACAGAAAGTCTTCGATGAGGGCAATGACACAGAGGAGAATACGAGCAATTACCCAATATCCGATGATTCCAGCGATCACATCACACATTGTGTGTGAAATTTCTTCGTCACCAGGAGGGACTACGGTCATGAGCCGAGTCCGTTGCAAAGACTGAGTATATATGGCACCATCAATATCACCATTAGAGTCCATTTTAAGGACAAGGAAAATCCAGTTGTGGCCATCGGTCACAGCTCCACGAATGATGTTTTTTCTACCGTGAAATCGTCATCATTAATTCAATGGAAGATGGAAAGAACGAGCCCTCCGACCCAAGTTGTTTTGCACAAGCGTACATTTCACACACGGCTTGAGGGACATGGTTCTCGAGTGAAATATTGCTTTTCTTGGCTTCTGATATGAAAAGAGTACGGTCGAAGTCCTGCAGGACCCCAGACGTGGCCGGGTCAAATACTTTTCTGCAGAAAGATAAGCAAGGCGAATGACGGTTGTTGAACAAATTTACCCGCGCCCGATGTGCTTGCCCCGATGGCAGTGGAGTCTATGTAACCTCCGAAACTAAAACGTCTGTCAGTTGTTGCTGGGACGCTCTGCTCCACGCTGAGAACCAACTACCTGCCTTTGGCACCATTGCAGAGGCGCGGAAGAAGAAGGAATCGATCCAGGCAGCACGCGGCGAGGCTGCTTCATTCTGATGAATCCAACATGAGATATTTGCCCGGTATAAGTATATCGCACATACCCACCGCTCTCGGGACGAACTGTTGCAGCACACAGAGGTGACGATACAGACCCTCGGAAGACCAGTGTTCAGTCATTCCGAGTCGCTCCGTCGCGGCCACCCTAACGTTGTAATCCGATTTCAGCTTGAGGGAACCGCTAAGTTTAATATTTCAATTTGGACAGAACTTCTTCCGCCATCCCAGAGAAAGAAAGGGCCTGTAAGAGATGATGAGGAAGGTCATGTTTACTAGCGGGTGCCCCGTCACGGTCAAGCTTCGACTGCATCATCGCGAGGATTTTTGCTAGGGTTTCCTCGAATTCCGGCTCGAATGTGATTATGTTCTCTTGCGACTGCCAATCGTCAGAGCCATCCACGTCGTTCGTCGCGGAAACTGTCTCCAGTAATGATTTGACCGAATGGTAGGCCATCCTCAGTTGCAATCCCGTCACCCGTGAGTCCAGATGTTTTCTTGTGGTTGTTCCTATTCGTGGCGTTCGACGCTGGCCATGGCACTTGGGATGGTGGCATTAAGACAGAAGATTCACTGTAAGTTGTATCGAACTTGGTAAGTACTTTAGTACCAACTAAGTACCCAGTGAAAGGGAACGCGTGATCATGTGACCGTGAATTGGTTGTGATCATTCAAACCCCCCCACGTTCAAACTCTTCCTCTGCGCTCTCCAACTTTTTCCCGCCCAGGACGTACACGAGGCGCGGCCTACTATTGCATAGTATCGAGGGATTTTGCGCGGGATGGCAACAAAGGAGCGTCGTCGGCCATTGTCGAGCCGTTCTGTATCAAAAGCAGGAAAACAGGTGGCTGAAGACCTTGCCGATGCATTGGCCACAAAGTTGACCATTTCAGGCTCCAAGGGAAAGCAAAAGGCTGCTCCGGAGGTGATAACCGAAGATGACCTTCGGATTTCAGCAATGCGGTCTGTCAATTCGGCGTCACAAGAGCTTTCCAACGTTGTCCGTTCTGGCTGGAAGAAGTCCCTATCCAACCTCTCAAAAACCACGCTATCCAACGCCGAGTCGTCTGCCTTGACGGCGGAAAAGAATTTGTGCGTCTTGCGTAGGATATGCCTGCAGGATGTGGACGTGGAAAGGGCGGCAGTGAGTGTCTTAGGCAAGTTGGTTACTCTAGATATGGTGAGTTCGAAGTCTTGATGTTCATTCAACGTCTGACGTCTGTGTAGCACGATTGTGCATTAACTGCGTTAGAATCTATGCACCCACGAATATGTGGTTTGTTAAATGTTACGACGCCCACCTCGAATAACCATCGGTGTCATCTGTTATCAATACCACTCCCCTCACCACTACCAACGGATATAATTCTCTTGACACTTACATCGACCTATCTCGCCCACGCTCTTTCCACACTGGCTTCAATATCAACAATTCCTCAAGCAGTTGATGCACTGTCGTCGTCCTTGACACTCCCCACATCCTCCTCTTTTCTAACCTGGGTGCCCTCGATATCTTCCTTGCCCGTCAAACAAACAGACGTGATGCATACCCGCAGCTACTCGGCAATTACGAAGCTCTGCTCCACTTCCACCTCCACCACTTCGTCAATAGCAAAGACCAAAGCGACCAATCCATCACCCAATCCCAAGCGGGTCTTTCAACTACGAATGTATGCCCTTCGCTGTCTCTGCCACACATCCAGAGGGACGGTAGAATCCGGCACATTCTGGGAACAGGTCACTAGGTCTGCTGTGGCTCTCGTTAAAGCCAGTCAGTCGCTTCTCCCAGAGGTGGAGGAGAAAGTGACAAATTTAGTTCTCTGCGAATACGCGGAGATGCTTTCGTGTGCTCAGAAGCGGGAAGATGGCCTGTCGTTTTTGGAGGGGAAAGGTTTCGTCGGATTTTGCGAGTATTGGATGGCTTTTGCGAAACGGGTACGTTTGTTCCTATCAATCATTGTGATGACACACTCAACACGGACGGCCAGGCTGGAGATATCTGTGCCCTTGAGAGGATTGGACAGCTGATGCAGCATGAGCTCCCCAAGCCGTCCTCAAGTAAGATCGCCCAACTGGTGGGAAGGACGCAAGCACAAGATGCCGATAACATCACCAAAGAGGCTACTCGGATTTGCGCAGAATTCGCACAGGTTACGACTTTGCTGGAGCAAAGGCCCGTAGAAGATGGTAGGTGGCTTCTTGTTCTTACTCTGCTCGCTCACGACGCTCTCTGCAGACGTGCTAATCAAGCATCTGGAATCATGCACCGTCCTGATAAAGACGTCAACTTGCTTGCAATCTTTACTATTTGCGGAAGACCAGGAACTCGCTCGTATTAGTGGCAAAGTGGATCGAGCATTCGAAAGACTCCGTCGAATGGCCGTCAAGTCTCTCGACTCCCTGTCTACAGATACCTCTCGGACGGAGGTTCAAGCCTTCGTGTTGTCTTGTGTCGACCTTCTCCAAAAGCTTGCAGTTTCCGCAGCGCGGAAATCTGACATCATCACTCGCGTGTTGGATTCTCTCTTCGTGCTGGCACGTACTGCTCTCAATGTTCAGGACCCTAGGACGTATGTCCCTGCCTTTGAGCATCTGAGTGGCGCGGTCTCTATCCTTGATTCTGTGCCTCAGGATGCAGACGTAGACCGTGCGAATTACATGCGTTGCATTTCGGGGACATACTACAACGTTTCAGGATCACTCTATCAAGCAACACGATATGGTGCTGCAGTCCCATTTTTACGTGAGGCGTGTCTTCTTGGCGCAAAGGCGTTGTCGATGAATGGGCGCGGGAAAGGGAAAGGGAAGGGGAAGGAAGAGGCAACGAAGAGTAAAGTCGATGGAGAAATGGAATGGAATCAGCTGGAAGAGCAGCTCTACCGTCGCTGGGAGTTGCTCGCTGTTTGTTATAGTAAGAATGGGGATCGCAAGGTGATTTCTCTGCCCTTCTGTTGACTACGTTGCTCACATGTTCTTTCTTAAAGAATGCCTATGACGCTTTCCAACGGTGCATATGCACATTTCCGTTTACGTCCTCTGGCTTTGAAGCTCAAATGGATGCGAAGAGTGTCGGGGATATCTTTGGAGCGTCTGCCAGCTCATCCGTTAAGCAGTTAATGGCCACCATTGACCGAGTCAGTTACATTGGGGCATGTGAGCTGCTTCTGCCGCCAGAGGATGTCTCCCTTCGTTTTCCCCAGCGTTTCGCTGCTTCTCATGACGGCAACCCTGTGATGGACCCTGGGGTCGTCGGAGTCCTTCTGGAGCAGCAAATTGATGGCCTTCAGCCGAGTCAATGGAAAGAGGGCGTACGGGGTGTCTTTGTGAAGCTGTTAAGAGATTCTCTGTACGTTTATGATGCGGCCTCGTTCCCTATCAGGCGATCCAGAGTTCTGATAAGGTGTATGGCCTTTGCATATCGGGACTCTGGAGATGACTGGGCCGTGATCTTGGGAAATGTGCAGGAGATGGGCAGTGAAGTAGAGCGTCTCTTGACGGCTCAGGTATGGACTTCCCCCCATTCTTTGAGCCTTTCACCTGGGACCTGATTTCCCAATCTAGAACTTGGCTCGGGATGTTGCGTTAGCTCCTTATCGCCTGCAATACCGTGCATCCGCACACCTCTGGCTCGCACTTCATGCTCATAAGCGCGCAGACCCGGAGCAAAGTACGGCCATGGCTCAACATGCAGATCAAGCGTGTCAGATTCTGAAAGACCTCCTCACTCTTGGTCCAGCTGGGAGCCCCAGGGTAGCGAGGAAAGGGCTGAGTCCCAAAGTGAGAAAGGTCTCATCCTCGTTAACGCAGATACCAAGAATTGTGTCCCCCAAAGCTACTAGGGCAACTCGTCAACGCGTACCGGCTGCTCCAAAGAAAGCTGCTCCTGTCAAGAGTAAGTCAAGGGTAGCTGCTCGTCTCCCTGTTACTCCCCAGGTTAAGCCAAGGGCTGGTAAGTGTCGTCATATTTTCGGTCAACACGTGCTTATTTGGCTTCTTATTCATTCTAGCACCTCAACCAGTTTCACTGAATACTGCGAGAACGCCACCTCGACCCTCTTTGGATGCTGCTGCGAAGACGAAGTCACTGTTGACTTTTGATGACTTTGATCAGTTTTTAGGGCTGCTCCGTAAGTTCTTTGGTGCTGTTGTTTGCGACTTACCTAGTCTAATTACTATTATTCTCAGAACTCACGGCTCGCCTTCTTGGTCTCCTTTGCCTGGTAATTCCAAAAGTCCATATATTGGACCTCACAAGGAAGTTGTGTGAGCGCCACGCTGGCGTGGCGAGCGATGGTGTGTCTTCCATATCTAAACATGTAATCTATTCTTGACGTCTCTCCCGCGTAATTTAGGATACATCTCTGCATCAATTGACCTTGCACATGAGTACGTGAAGATTGGTAAGATGAAGAGGGCGGCCATGATTTTCAATCTGGCATTGGAGGTTGTTAGAAACGGACAAGCCTCGCCGGAGGTATCCTCCGCCTTCTTGTTACGATTTGCGGAGTCGTTGGCCTTAATCGAGGATGTGTCTCGAAGGTACGTATCCTATTTTCTTTGGTGGTTGTGTTTGTGGCTGAGTTTGAGATGTAGCTCAAATGTCTATAACGAGGCGCTAGTTCATTCAAGCAGGTTGGATACGGAGGAGAAAGGATCGACCACTCTTCAACGGATCCATACACGGGTCAAGCGTCTGGAGAGGGCAGCGATGGCTTCCCATATCTTCGGATTGATTCAGTATTGCAAGGTAGTGCCTTCTAATATTCCACCCATCGTTGTTGACATCGAACCTATTTAGGAGGACGTTGCTACATCACTGGAAGGCATGCTCCAGTCTCTTCGTTTGTGGAATCGGGCTGTGGACACATTAGGACGTCTTAACCCTTTGCCTCAATCCTTCACTAAACCATCCTCGGAATCGAATCCATTTGAAATGACCAGTATGAAAGAAGCCCTTACGGCTGAACAAACATCCGCTCCAGCACAATCACAACCTACGCCGACTCATACCCTCCGCGATCATTCATTCATGATTTGGAGTGGCGGACAGCTGAAGGACTTTTTTCCACTCTTTTCGCGTTGTCCCAGATGTACTTGATGCGTGGATCTCCTCGGGAAGCTGAGTACTTTGCACAGCAGGCTCAGGATCTCGCCGAAGCACTGAACGTTCCCACTGTTGTTGGCCGTGCGTTGACTCGGAAGGCAGAGGTTCAGCTTCATCTTGGTCAACTGCAGGAGGCAAATGCAACACTGGAAAAGGCTGCTGCGTTGCCCTCTCACCTGCCAGGCATTGATACTATTATCGTTCATCGGCTCCGGGCGGAATGTAATGAGCGAAGCGCTCAGCATGAGGATGCGCAAGAACACTATCTTTCGACAATGAAATTGCTGGAGGAACTTGATGGCGCGTTCCAGCAATTCGAGACCTTGGCGTTTGGGTGCGTGACATTATATCTCTTTCTCTTGAAAAAGTCTAAAAAAGGTCATTTGCTTCAGTCCTCGACGATCACTAGGCACATCCCCTCGGACAAAGCTTCTCCCTGACACTGTTGCTCCTGAACTCCTGGCAGCCGTTCTTCACCAGCATAGTACGTTTATGTTCATTTTTTGCTAGCTTTCTCTAATAAGGAGCAGTCTGGTCACGACGCGATCAGCCAGATGAAGACCTCAATAGCCTGCTTGAGAAGTTCTTGTCCCTGCCATCTTCATCCCGAATGAAGGTAAGAAACCTCGATTTCGTCCCAACGCAAATGTCTGACCCAACCAATTTCGAAGGTGAATGAGAACTCCCTCATGGGCAAACTAACTCTCTACAACGTCTATGCTCGCTTCCGTGCTGATATGTTCCTAAGTTCCCTCACCGAGTCTAGTGAGTTGTTCATTTTCTTGTCGTTGCAGAAACTTACCAGTACATCGTAGCAATCGCTATTCCCATGGGAATGTCTACTACGCACAAGGTTGCGTTCGCATTACCTACTCAGGATGTCCTCAACGCTCTGGAAGAGGCAGAAAAGCTATTTCAAGCAAACCTGTCACTGACTTCTCGAACTGGTAGTATCCTCAAGCTTCGGGATGCTGCGATTTCTCTCGCACTTATCAAAGCCTTCCAAACTTCCCTTGGCAGACCAGGAAATGGCGGCTCGGTGGTCACTGCCACGTTACTGGGTGGGATTACTTTTATTACCCTCGATTGGGGATACTGATGGTTTTACAGATGTTTCAACTGCAATTACTCTGCGGAGAGAGATGTTGGAATCCATAGAACACAAATTTTCAGCACTTCACATGTCCGACGACCTCCAGTGGCCACTTATCACCTCGGATGGGACACCTCGTCCTCGGCCAAAGATAGAACGCCAGGGCAGATTCAACGTTGATCTGGAGTCCGATGATGATGCAGAAGACAGCGCCTTGCGAGAAGATACCTTGATTCGAGCTTACTGGACCTCCATTCGAGAAAAATATCGCTCACGACGCCTTGACGTTGAGTCACTTTCGACCGCGGAGACGGGGGACCTTCCCGAAAACTGGATCATAATCAACATCAATATCACAGACGATAAGAGCACGTTGTTCATCTCACGACGAGAAGGCGGAGTCGAAGGAAGCCAACCACTTGTTTTCTGCGTGCCTTTGAAAGGAAGGAGAGATAACGGAGATGACAATGAGGAAGACCATTTGGGTTTCGATGATGCTATTGGCGAATTGCGCGAGATCGTAAGGTTGAGTGACGAGGGTACCAAGACAGCCGTCAACATCAAATCCGATGACGCAGAGGCTCGCGCGAATTGGTGGAAGCTACGGGGTGATCTGGATACGAGATTACGCGAGCTTCTTGAAAATATCGAGTTTTGCTGGTTGGGAGCGTTCAAGGTTAGTGATTTCTGTTTTTCGTCTGGCATGTATTAACAATGTATGTATATCAGACAATCCTTAGTCCACGGTCGGACGCAACTCCTGAGATGATTTTGGATCTCCGTGCGCAATTCGACAAGATCTTTCAGCGAAGCCTTCATGTCAAGGACCAGAAAACGAAGCAGCGGGCAGGAAACCACAAGAAAACGACATCGCAGGCACAGGCACCCAGTCAATTGACGCTTGACGATCCGATTCTCAAGTGTTTCTCCACGTTGTCACCGAAGTGCAAAGATGAAGAGCTCGAGGATCTCATCTACTTCATCTTGGACCTCTATTCGTTCCATGGCGTTCCAGTCGCTATTGCAGAAGTCGATATCGCTCAGCTGGTGGTAGACCTTCGGGCTGTGTTGGAAGAACACGCGGCGAAGCTTCGGCAGCGGAAAAAGACAATCACGGGCAAGTCGACCACCTCATTGGCGAAGGACCAGGACGAACACTTGTTCTTGGTCCTCGACAAGAATGTTCAAGGGATACCTTGGGAGAGTATACCGATCTTGAGGGGGCGAAGTGTCAGTCGAATCCCCAACATCGAGTTCTTGTACGACAGGCTTGCGTTTGCGAAGTGGAAAAGACAGGGCGAACCTGGGGAGGACAAACCAATCACTGGAGCGGTCGTTGATCCTCGAAAAGGATACTTTATCTTGAATCCCAGTGGCGATCTAGCTCGAACTGAAGGTCGATTCCGGGATTGGGCTCATGGCATGAAGAAAGCTGGGTGGGATGGTGTGATTGGCCAGGCTGTTAGTGAGCAGCAGTTTGTGAATGCGCTGAAGACGCAGGACTTGGTTGTGTAAGTATTCTTCTCTCTTGTTCGTTTAGTCTCACTGATATGAATGGTTTCATCGTAGTTACTTTGGCCATGGAGGTGGGGAACAGTACATCCGATCCCATAGGATTCGCAGCCTTCCGAAATGCGCTGCAACTATGCTTTGGGGTTGTTCGTCTGGTGCTCTCCGGGAGTTGGGTGACTTTGATAGGACGGGAACACCTTATAACTACATGCTCGCTGGATGGTACGTATCCAAACTGTCTTTTACTTCAATTCCCATTAATGCCACCTGCTATCAGTCCTACGCTTGTCGCGAATCTGTGGGACGTCACGGACAAGGACATTGACAAATTCTCTCAATCCATCTTCGATAAGCTGGGTTTGACGCCTGCGGATGTTAGCAAGTGGAATGAACCCCGCAAGGAATCCCATACATCTCCTTCTGTGTCTTTGGTGGCTTCTGTGGCACAGTCGCGGGATTCCTGCAAGCTGAAGTACTTGACTGGCGCAGCTCCCGTGGTGTACGGTATACCATTTTATCTTTGATCTCGGATCGAACATTATCTACTCGACATTGTACCGTTTAACATTTATTTAGATGTATATTTCAGGGCTTGCCCAAGTAGAGCAGTCGAATATCGCTTTGTCTTTTATTATGAATTCATGATCGTCCATATCGTTGTGTTGCAAACTTTACCGCCTTGCAACTCATCAGACGAGGCTCATGGTGTACAACATATGGAGATACTAGACTTGAACGATCACGACAAGAAGACGACTGGACGCGATAAGGCCTTGTAAAGAGCAAAGCCAATATGTGCACGTGACTGACGCGACGCGTTCAACTGTGTACTCAACGCCGACCACGATGATCAGCAGTTTCGATTTACGAATAGAGGTCGAGGCTCTTCAAGAGCTCGATAGTTACGACATCCCACACGACTATGATCTCACAACAGAGGATCCGGAGCGGCTTCTTGAAGGTGACTATTTATTTTCAATCCGACTCAAAAAACTGACGATTTGGTAGCTGCCGTGGAAGCTGTTGCCGACTCCAGCAGCGCAATTACTGATGAACAGGTCTTTGACATCTATAGGTGTCTACTCAAACACGCAGACGCGGTATCTGGGTCCGTTATGAGCAAGCTTCTCGACTCCATTTCCTCTGGCCTCTTGGCGGAATTAGAGGCCACTATGCGTGATGTGGAGTTGGGGGATCAGCAGTCGTACATGGCGCATAAAACGCCGTTGGAATTGTACGCGTTTTTGCTGCAATGGTTCGTTACGGCGGCTGAGAAGGTCAAGGCCACTGAGGATGGTGATGCGCCACCGCCAGCAGCGGCTACCAAGGGCAGGAGAGGGAGGGGAGGGAAGGCTGGAGCGGGGAGAGGGGCAGGTCGTGGAGCTGCGAGCAAGAAGAATGAGGCGTGGACTTGGCAGGACCAGATCCCTGCGACACTTGGGCTGATTGTCAAAGTTCTGCGTCTTCAGACGCAACGTATTTGGACGACGACTGCTGAAAAGGAAGACTTTATCAAGTGCGTTACTATCTTCTGCCCTCCTCTTTATCTTCTAACATAGTTGTAGAACTATCACAAGACCCGCATATCACGTCGCTGAAAACGAACAATACATGAAAAAGTCAGATATCAAGCTCTGGGTCTACAAAGTCATCTGTCTCTCCGTGAAACACCATGGTCAATCTTTTGCTGTCCACATCAACATCATCCAATTTCTTACCTTCTTCGAACACCTATCCGAGCCCATGGCAGAGTGCCTCACCGTCCTCGCTGGGGAGTACGACCATGCCCAAGTCGGGGACGAAATCCTCCGCGATATCGCGGGCAAGACTTTCAACGCGCAAGATAGCAAAGGCCCTCGTGCATTCGCGAGGTTCCTCGTCAAATTCGCAGAGCTCGCTCCGCGCGCAATACTCAAACAGCTTAGTCTCCTTCTAGACCAGCTGGATTCCGAGGTCCGTCTAGCTCCTTTCTTTCTTAAGTTCACCGCCTGACGAGTACCTATCTCACGCACCAGTCATACCCAATGCGCCAAGCCCTAGTCGAAGTCATCGGCTCCATCATCACCGAGCTCTCAAACACAAGCACCGACAACGACAACTCCAAAACCGCCCAAAAGCAAATAAGCGGGCTCTTCGACCTGCTCCTCGAACGCACGCTCGACATCTCCTCATACGTGCGCACGAAGCTCCTCCAAGTTCTCGCAAAGATGTGCGATTTGAAGCCCAAGTTTCCTAAACAGCGCTTGGCGATTACCGGTGCTGCCATTGCTGCGCTGGCGGATAAGGGCGCGACGGTGAGGAAGACGGCTGCGGCGCTTTTGGTGAAGTTGTTGGAGACCCATCCGTATCGCACGCATGGGGGTATGTTGCAGCTTGATGTGTGGCAGGCGGAGTATCAGGATGTTTGTAAGGAGTTGGAGAAGGTTGAGGGGAAGATTGGGAATGCGGTTGAGAAGCCGGAGGGTGAGGAAGAAGAGGAAGAAGAGGAGGACGAAGAGGAGGAGGGTGAAGGTGAGGAGGGTGAATCTAGAAGGAAGAAGAAGAAGTCGAAAAGGTGATTCAGAACCTGTTCGTGTGTGGATCAAACTGACGGCTCTCTTTTACTAGGCCAAAGGTCAAGAAAGAAGATTCGATGGATGTAGATACCGAACCAGAAGACAACGAAGATGAAGATGAAGATGAAGAGAGCGACGAAGACGAGGGCGAGGACGACGCAAAAATGGCCGTGGACGAAGACGACGAAAACGCCACGCCCAAGGAAAAGCCCAAGAAGGAAAAGAAACACCCAAAGCTCAAACCCCGCAAGTCTCAATTGAACGTGGCTGCCGTCACCGAGGAACAAGCTGTCCTGGCCGGGTTGGAGGGTCAAGAGCTCCAGCTGATGAAGTTGCGCAAGAAATATTTCGTCGAGGGATTGGCGTTTATTCGTCAGATTGAGAGTGCGATGGAGCCGATGGGGTTGCTTTTAGGATCGAAGAATAAGCTGGAGGTTGCTGAGGCTATCGAGTTCTTCAAGGTTGCACATGATTATGAGTTTGAGAGCGCCAAGGTTGGTCTCGGTTTTGTTTGGAAAGTCAAGTGGTTTGGGAGCTCACGTTCGGTCGTTTGTCTAGGTCGGGATTCGGAAGATGCTGCATTTGATATGGGTAAAGGATAACAACAATTCTGGAACCGCGGAGGAGGCGAAGGAGGGTAAAGGCGTTCGGCAGAAGCTGCTTGACTGTTATCGCGGATTGTACTTTGAAGCTATCGAGGGTCTGCAGCCGAAAGAGCAAGTCAGCCGTATCGCGAAGAATCTGGTAGAGTGCGTCATCCCCCCTCTTTCTTGATGAAAATTCTTGAGGCTCATTCATTTTATTAGGCGAACATACGAGACCACGTTGGCTGAACTGACAAGTCTTGAGGAGATGATGCGCATTATGAGCGAAGAAGAGCAGATTCATCAAGATGTCATTTCCAAGCTTTGGCAGATTTATAGTATGTTCACCTTGCGTTATGGCTCTTCTTTGTTCTTACATACCGTCATACAGGTTCTAAACAAAACATTCCGAGCCAGCAGCGCCGCGGAGCCATCATCGTCTTGGGCATGCTTGCCTTGGGAAGACGCAGCGTGCTGAGTGATCGTGTTGACACCCTACTCAAAGTGGGTTTGGGACCGTTGGGCAAGGTGAATTGTCCCTCCGTCAATCTCGTTCGATGTGTGAGCTAATGTGAGCTATAAGGCTGATCTCACCTTGGCTCGATACACCTGCGTGGCTTTGCAGCGATTGAACGGGAGTGCCAAGAAGGTCAAAGGTATGTCTCGTGCAGAGTCAAGGGGATGCGTAGATTAGATTGACACAATACAGGTTCCCTTCTTGACAAAACCATGCGCATCGAGATGACCAATCCCATCTTCCGCAAACTCCAAGATGCCGTCAACCACCCCTGTCGATCTCGAGAATGGTTTGGGTTCGCCGAGCAGGTCATCAACACCGTATATGCGCTTGGCGAGCATCCAGACGTGTTCTGCAATGAGCTCATCAAGAAATTCACCATCAAAGCTTTCACCCCTCGTGCTCCTAAACCTGCTGCGCCCAAAACCAATAACGAGACGCCAGAGACGGACCCTGACGCTATGGCTGAAGATCATCCAGGAGACGTTACCCAAAACTCTCTGTACACGGCCACGCAGGTCTCGACTCACGGAACGCAGCAGGACGATAAGGAGAAGGATGTCGGCGACGCGTTTGAGCTGAGCCAGCTTCTTTTCATTGTGGGACATGTGGCTATCAAACAAATTGTCTTTCTGGAGCTTGTTGAGCGGGAGTGGAAGCGCCAGAAGGACGAAAAACAAGCTGGTAGGTCTCTTGTTTGTTCTATTTGATTTCGTCAAGTAACCATGCATGTCTGGCAGCCGAAAAGTTGGCAGCCAAGGCGAAAGGCACTGATAAAGCCTCCAAGGATGGCGAGGAGCTTGATCAAGTTGCTGGTAACGCAGAGGACGAGATTGGAGACCGCGTCGCAGGTGTTCGTGAAACGGAGATGCTCTACGGGACTGACTCCCTTTTGGCGATGTACGGTCCCATGGTCGTCCATATTTGTGGTAGCCCCCACAAATTCAAGGTTCGTGCTCTGTCCTAGCACGCATTTCTGGGTATATTAAAATTTTGTTCGCAGAGCCCGACACTGCGAGCGGCTGCAACGCTATCATTCAGCAAGTTCCTTTGCGTCAGTTCGCAGTTCTGCGACCAGAACCACCGGCTATTATTCAAGATCCTCGAGACGTCCAAAGACGCTAACATCCGGAGTAACATCGTCATCGCGTTGGGCGATGTCGCCGTGTCCTTTAGCAACATCATCGACGAGAACAGTAACGAGCTGTACAAGGGCCTTTCGGACGGCAGCATCATTGTCAAGAAGAATACGCTTATGGTCTTGACGCATTTGATTCTGAATGGGATGATCAAAGTGAAAGGCCAGCTTGGTGAAATGGCCAAGTGCGTTGAAGATGAAGATGCACGTATTGCGGATCTTGCGAAGCTGTTCTTTAGCGAGTTGTCTACGAAGGAGAACGCAATCTACAATAACCTTCCTGATGGTAGGTCCTTTTTCATTTGGCGCGTACTACGGAATACTGATTTTTAAAAAAAAGTAATCAGCCATTTGTCCAGTGGCGATCATGCCGTCGATGAAAAGACTTTCAGGAGTACACTCCAATATATCTTTACCTTTATCGAAAAGGTCTGTTTCATGAACTCTCTTGGTATTCAGTTAGCTTACCCTCACGTCTCTCAGGAAAAACAAGCAGAGAACATCGTCGAGAAGCTATGCCAGCGTTTCAGGCTCAGCGAAGATCCACGTCAATGGCGCGATATCGCTTTCTGTCTTTCCCTCCTCCCATTCAAATCGGAGCGATCAGTCAAGAAGCTGATCGAGGGCTTCCAGTTCTACCGGGATAAATTACACGAACCTCAGGTGTATGAAAAGTTTACGGAGATTCTGGCAAAAGTACGGTCTTTCAAGCAGTTTCAGGGCTCTGATGCTTACTTATTTATCTACAGGCACGTTCTAATAAATCCAAGGACAAGCCGGATAATGAGCTCAATGAGTTCGAGCATGTACGTTCTGATAGAATCTTATCCATATTGTCGCTGACAGTCGATGATTACCTAGCTTCTGGAGGAACACAAGAACCAGGGAGAGGAAGACCAAGCTCTCGAAAAGCGTGTAGAGAAGAAGGCAGCGAAGAAACGGGCTTCAAAGCGAAGTACGCCGTCCTTTCCTTTGTCTTGCCGGTACCCGTGAACTGACCGGTCGTAACCCTGATAGCTACCCGGAAGAAACCTGTCCAAGCTGAGGAAGAGTCTGAGTGATGCGATGTTTGATTTTTGTATAATTTATTACCATGAACCACTGGGATCTTTTCTTGTATCACATACTGTATCGTAGTAAAAACCACTGTATAATGGCATATGTAGATATATTCGCAAAATCCGGGGATGGATTGTTCAACTTGAAGCAGGAGGCATGTTGAATGTCGAATTTTGGAAGGGGAAGAAGCATGTAAGTGCTGTTTGTATCGTAGAAGACGAATGAATGAATGAGTGTGGTAGTCATGGCCAAAAGAAACCATAGTCGCTATAGAGATAAGCTATCGAAAAAGGACTGTGAGGGCGACGAGAACGCCAATAGCTCGAGGGAGAGAAAGTCCAGAGAGTCAGAGAGAGAGACAAATCGTATATAGATACAAAAAAGATACGCGTTCGAAAGGAAAAGAAAAGGTATACGGAGTGAGAGATCGATCAAATGAGCGTGGGTGGAGAGATAGTTAAATTGAGTGATAAGGAATTGAAATTATGAACCCAGGTATTGCTTATGCTAGCGTGATTTGAGTGAGTGAGTGAGGTCCGGGTGGGTGGGGCGTTGTTGTCGTTTGATACAGTATATGCATGGATGGATGGTTTTTTTATGATTGCAGGGGTCTCTTTTCTTGGGGTGGGTCTTCTTCTGACTTCTGACTTCCAGCAATGAGATGGGTTCGTTTAGTTTGGTGTGGGTTGGAGGTAGGGATGGCTGGGTGGAGTGGAGAAGGACGGGAGGGACCGCGGTAGCGGATGGGTGGGAGCTTGCCGTATGAACGAACGGCCTAGGGAGGCGGGCGGGGTGACGGATGAGGAGGGAGAAAAACGGCGGCGCAAGACGTGAACCCAACGCAAGTCTATTCAACTTCAAACCTCGCACCCCCCTCACCTCCTCTCATAATAGTCTTCATAAAATCAAAGAACCTTTCCGCATATTCCCCAGGTGGAACCGGGCTAATCTTATGCTGTTGACCCCCCCAAAATCAACATTCTCTTCTTCAAGTTCCCAAAAGAAAATGGAGGAAGACTCACCCGATCAGCCTTCAACCCCTTCCACAAATGCTCAGCCCTCTTCACAAGTGAATAAGGCGTCAAAATATCAATAACGCCCAAATAATAAATCACATCCAACCCTTCATTGCCTTCGTCCGTCGCCCTCAGCCCTGCCTCGTCTTGATAAAAGATCAACTGAAGTCGATCCCCGATATCTTCTTCGGGGAGTCGGATAGTATGTTTGCCTAGCCGCTTTGGGTCCGAGGACCGCATGGCCCGACGCATGGCGATGGCTTCGGGGGATTTGTGTCCTCCTGAAGTTGTTTTTGAGCGGCCTAGGGAGTTGGGTAGGTCCGGCTACAAATACGCGATGGTGGGTGAGCCATATGTCGTTAAGGAGAAAGAAAGAAAGAAAACCCACCGAAAACACCTTCAACGTATTCCTCCTAACATTATCCCTATTCCCCCTCTGCATATTATGTATCCCCACCAAAAGACTATAATCCATAACATTAACCCCCCTCAAAAACTCCGCGTCCCTCCTAAGCTGTTCCGTCAACAACGCCCTCTTCTCCGGTCCCAAATCCAACGCCTTCCCCCTCTTTATCCAATTCAAATCTTTCAGCACAGCCCGTGGGTTTCGCGCGGCTTTGTCTTCGGGGTACTCACGGCCAACCGTACTCCCCTTTAGATCATACGTCTCGTGGATGTCTTTATGTGGTGGGAAGAGGTTGTTCATGATCACGAAATGGATTTTCCGACCTCGGGGGAGCTTGACGCGGTGTAACCCGTAAAACCGACTAAGCAGCGTATGTGGGTTTTCTTTGACGTGGTCAAAGTATTGTGGGAGGATGGACAAGAGGAATTTATGTTCAGAGTGTCGGATGGTTTTGATTATGAACCGATAGTCTCGCGAGAAATAAAAGAAGGAGCCTGATTTGCCGGGGGATCCGAGTTCGGAAAGGATGTATTTTGCGGTGAGGGAGAGGAGGTAGTCTGCGGGGTCTAGATGGAATATGTCTTCTCGAAGTGTGCGAAATACCCAAGGCGCGTAATCCTTGAACTTGAAGTCGTATTTTGCAGACGGAGTCAGCTCGTTTCCGACGATATCGAATGAAAACTTGTGACGCGCGGTAAAGTCTTCTATCGTCAGTGGTCGTTTTATTTTAGCTTGACATCGAGAAACCTGCTCGACGTGAGCGTGTATCATGAATAAGGAAAGAGCGAAACCCACCCCGATACGTATACCCGTCAACATATTATACATCAACACATAATTCAC